GATAGCCATTCAAATTTTCGTTCACATTTTTCTACGATAACATAACGGCGCTCTTCAAAAGGGCAAGCAGCATAATTTTTGTTTTTGCACATAACTACTTTGAACACTCAAACAGCGTCAAAACACAGCTTTGATATAAAAAAGTGTTAAACCGAATCGCCATCCCCTTGAATCGTTGAAAAATTATCAAAAACAGTGATTCATTGGAAAAAGCTCAGGAATCCGGTTACAACCGTGGGGCTGCTGTTAAAACGCTGTATACTTGTTTATAGGCGTGGTAAAATTATGAGATTGGACACATTGTAACAATCGCATCAAAACGATTTGTAATTCAAAATTGTATTGCAAATTTGGCAAACACTGAAATACGACCACAACAACTGTTGAAAAATGTACGGTATCATAATTTAGTATGAAAGAATGCGCATATTGCGAACGAAAAAATGCCATTCGTCGAATGTTTTATCATTTCGATTTGCCGTGGTCGAAATTCGGTTGATTCTTAATTTAGCATTTCATTCCTTTCTGATGTCTGAATTTTTTGTTTGTATACTTATGCAGCGATTTTCTAATTTGACTAAACGAATTTCTCTACATTGAATAGCGAATACCATCATAATTGTTAATAAGAATGCCATTTTCTTTTCTCCTTCTCTTTTTTTGTTTGCTTGATTTTGTGGTTCGCAAAGTTTTGTTGATTTTTATCATTTTATTTGTTGAAACAAAATTGTTCGTTGCGGAAAGTTTTTAGATGCTGTGTGTAGTCTGAAGTGTCTTAAAAACCGCACAAAATGGAAAAATGAATGAAAGCGACCAATCAAAAACCATTCGCATAAGGCGTAATTTCTTACGAAACATAAACGAAAAATGGATTTTTTTTTAATTTCCTCAACCGAATCGGCCATTGCTCCTTGCATTTCATTATTTTTTTGGTTCATGCTGCCTCAGCAAACTCGGGCACACAACGAACAGTTTAAACACATGCAAATACATGTGATCATTATGCAGATAAAGAAAAAAACAGCAGCAGGTTAACAATAATCACAAAAAGTGAGAGAAGCATAGATACCGACCTATGATTTGGCGGGCATCAGAATCATGAATATCGACACAAAGCGAAAAGACGTCGTACAATAAACAAAGAAGCGACAATCGCATTAAACAAACCACAATACACAAAAAAATAATTTTGATCCAAATCCAACGGATTTCTTTTTTAACGAAGTCAACGAATCGCAAATAAATCATTTGAATGATTAATTTTGTCAATATTTTGAGCCGAATGCATGGAAAGTAACAAAGAATAACAAATTTCTGAAATTAGATGATCATTTTGATTAGTTTACCTTTTCATTTAAAATATTATGGGTGATTTCATCAATTTTCAATTGAAAATTGGGACATTTTTTTTTTGCAAACAAATCAACAAATATTTTTAGGGAAGTATGCTTAACTGATTCAAACCAAATTTATCCATCGATGATCAATTGAACGCTCACAATAAGCACAAAAATGACCAAATGATTAAACTAAGTTACAATTTACTTACAATTCCACATTTAATTTTTCTTAGATGATACCCTTCGTTTCTATATCGCAAGATGATGTTGCAAAAAGATTAATATTTGGAAATTCATCAACATGATGAACATCAACAGTAATGTACAGTAAAAGCATTTAAATAGAGTTGAACGTGATTTCTCTCTCTCTCTCTCTCTCTCTCTCTCTCTCTCTCTCTCGAACAGAATGTTGTAAAATATCGTGAAGCAATGTGAAAAGAATGAAACAAGAATAAATGGAAGCACCGTTGCAAGTGAATGTGTAGATTTGTTTGGCGTGAAGTATTTTCCAAAATAAATATCAGCGATTTAAATTTCGATTACCCTCGCGAACACCAGACTGAGCAGCAAGTGCAGATAGATGGTATTAGACCGTCGTTTTTAATTTCAAGCATAAAATTGCAATTTGAATCAAGATCGAAACAATGAAAGATTTGATCCTTTTGGCTGAACGAATCCACGAACGCATACACTTACAACACACGGAGTCAGATGTGTATAAAAAGTAAATGACGGTTTTTCCTCACTACCGCTAATTTACTGCGGCAAATGAATTCAACAGGGAGCGCGTTTTTTGTTTGGTTTCATCCGTATGTAAGCCAAGTCTTAAACAGAGTCAAACCCATATGTATCATGATGGTAGTAAAATGCATTTTTACCCCTAACATTTTTTTCTCGCTCTCTTTTTTTGTTTCGATTTGATTTTTTTTTTATCTTATAACCACACCGTTGGCATAGTCGCTCGAGCTCTGATTAGAATATGATGGTATAAATAATGTTACCCTTTATGAAATTAAGCACGTGCGCTCCATTGCTTCGACTCTATTCACGAAAAAAAAGCAACATTCATTTTGGAATAATGAGCGTTCGAGAATTTTGTCAAAATTGCGTTTATGAATATGAAAAATGAGCGAAAATCCGTTGCCAACGCATAGCGTAATCAGTAATGCAACCAGATTTTCACATCTCATATGATTCTCTCGATATGCAAATAGTATTTTGATCACGAATCGTGATTCACCATTCAATGCAAATAAATGCAAGTTTGCATAAGCAACATCATTCGCAATAAACTTATCTCACTTCCATATTTTTGTTTGGTTAATTTTTCCTGCAGTTTTTTTATGAAGGGACGCCTTCTTCGCTCAAATTTCATTTATTTCAAAAAAGAAAAAAAAAATGAAATTTTCTGTTCCATTCATTCATTTCAATTTGAATTGCATGTTTGTGGTGCTAATTAGACACCGAATATTGGGTGCGATGTATGAACGCCGTACCTGCGGAATAGATATCATTGTGTAAGCATCACAATACAAGCTCATTATAAACATCATTCCGAGTCGAAATTTTAACAAAATCATGTTTGTCATGTTGCATGTGATTCCAATTGAAGTAACAGCCGTTAAAGTTATGTGAGTGTATGCGAAATCATACTGCGATGCCTCATTTGCATATTCTCTTTATTTTTTATTTTCATCATCCCATGCATCCGATACAGATTTTCAGTACCCACATTTTTTTTTTATTTCAGTACCCACTCATAATGTAATTCAACCCGATTCTTTCTTACAGCGAGTGTTTTTCATTTCCTATTTTGAAAACCTCTCACTCTCGTGTGCCTAATCTGTATCGTTGAGTCAATTTTTTATAAGGGTAACATTTTTTTTAAATGCGTAGCGAGTTTCAATTTAGAAAGAAAAAAAGAGAGAAGACTAACTAACATTCGTTGTTGATTTTGGAATAAATTATAAATGAGAGTGTGCCTCTGTGTCTTTGCATTTAAAGGGACTTGAAAGAGAATTTATTCGTTTTCTTTATTCGTATTATGCAGTTGTACTTTCGATCAACATTATCGGTAAACAAACGCAGCCGATCCAGTTAGAGACAATTTGAAATTAAAGGCAAACACATACACCTTTTCAAATGTTTTTGGATTAATGAACACAACGGCACAAGCACACCATCTTAAATTAAATGAAGCGTTAAATAATACATCTCTTGCGCAGTATTCAATTTAATTGAATAATCATTTTCAGTGCAAAACAAGCGAAGAAAATAGAGTTTGCGCTCAATAAATTACATCTGTGGCATTAATTTTAAATTGATGCAACAAAACGCTATCGTTACAATTGTCAAAAATTAAGTCAAAGCAATCGCTAACAAATCCTTGCCTTGCTGTAATCTACAGATGTTTTTTTTTGGTAATGGTCGATGGCAAAACAAGTGCATCGCATAAGGGAAATATATTTACTTCAAAATTGAAAAATCGTTTTCCATCGGATTTGAACATTTTATTGAATTGCAAATCGTGTAAAGTAAGAAGGTTTGGTATGCGATTGGAAGAAGTTTAGTCTGATTGAACGTAGAATATATAACAATCAACCAATAAATTATGGTTGGGAAATGCCATCAAAACTTTTCCTATGTACGACGTCAATTGGGAAACGCTGCGTTTTTATTTCTGAGTATTAATTGTTTGAATTTCTTATGCAAATTACAATTTCAGAGAAAATAATCAACAGCACCAATCAATCAAGATGGATTCAATTTTTTCTTTGCTGACACTAATGATCCAGTGCTGAAAATTTCACTGTCGAAACAAACTTTATTGTAACGCTGTATTTCAAATGTTAATCAATGAGTTATTTGTTACTTTCAAAAATTCAAGTGAGGCATACTTCTTCTAAAAAGAACAAAAAAAATTGCGCCAATAATGTTAACCATGAAATCCTGGAAAAAAAAATCGTGCGTTCCCTCCACTTTGTTGCTCTCATTTTATTTCCTTCAAAATGACAGAGAATCAAACATGATTTGGTCTCATCATTGTCCCAAAGAGTTGCTGTCACCCATTTTGTGATGAAATTACATTTTTGGCGCTTAAAAGAAATACACACAATAAGAGAATGATTTTGTGAATGTTACATCCAGAGTATTGCTCAGCGCTGCTGCCATCCAGAGCATATTAAAATATCTTGCTGAGAATGCGTCGTCCGTCGCATGCGAAGGTACGTAGCAGTTTATACATCACAGCGAACAACAATACATGCATTGTTCTCTATTCAATCGTTTCAATGTTTTGAATCACCAAATCGTGAAGAGAACAATGGATTCATTCTTGTTCGCTGTGATGTATAAACTGCTACGTACGTTCGCATGCGACGGACGACGCATTCTCAGCAAGATATTTTAATATTCTGTGGATGGCAGCAGCGCTGAGCAATACTCTGGTTACATCTATAGATGTAGAGATGTAAATCGATGCAAAGACAAACAAACCATCTATAAAATAAACAAACAAAAAAACACCACTCAAATGTCCACTGGTGTATATGTAAATGTATTTGTTTCAACAGGAGATCGTTATGTGTGCAGCGTTCATTAGTATGAACTTTTGGCTTGCTTTTTTCATTTGTATACGCTTGACATTTTGAAATTCATAATTAACCGCAACGGAGCAAGCAACAACAAGTTTTGTCACACAGTCATTGTCAGAAAATGTGCAAAATTCATTGAATTCGACGAATTGTTAATAATTTAAGGAAAAGAAATTTGATTGAAAATTGTTTGTTCAAGAGAAAAATACACGGATTTCTAAAATATCAAGTTATCAATCGACATTTTGAATAGTCAAAGGTAATTTTCTTTAAGTTGTTTTTATTTGTGTATGTGATGCGCATTTTTGCCGCCATATTTTTTTGCTCTGAATTTCAAAATGATTAAAGTAAACGTTGTTAATTCTGTATTGTCATTTGAATCACAAAATTAATCTGAATCAAAATCAACATCAATAGGATTGTCATTCGCCATAATTTGATTTGATATCACATTACCACAAAATTGGCCGATTTTTTAACGAAAAAATTCAAAATTGGATAGCAAAATGAAACTTCGTAAGCGGTAAAGTTTATCGATACATTCAATTTGAGAGCCCACAAAAAAAATGGTGTTGAATCATTTTATACATTTTCACAGAACTCGTGTGTCGACAAAAGTCGAAAATATGAAGGACGAACCGTTGCCAGCAAAGCGAGCGCGTCGTAGTAAAACACAAAATGAACCACCAACTCAGCGACCACGTCAAACGCGTTATATGCTTCGCAACCGAAACAATGAAAAATACGCAGCCAAAAGTGCCGAACCAACTCAAATGAATTTGAATCTATTGGATTTAAACGATGACTGTTTGTTACACATTCTCCAAAACATGTGCCCAACACAATTGTGTAATATGGCCGAAACATGCAAACGCCTTCAAGCAATGGCACGGTATGCATTCCGGTTGAAATATAAACGATTGGATTTGAAAACATCACAAGGAATGAATGCCATCAAACGATTGCTGAAAAATTTTGGTGGTCAAACGTCAACACTCCAAATCGTGCATTCAAATTCTTGTCATACAAGTCTTCATTGCAACTGCACACTTGGAAAATCGAAAAAGTTGCTAACGTGGATTGTTCGGTACTGTCGCCAAAACTTGGTTGACCTCACATTGAAAGGATTCCGCATAGAATCAGATATGATGAATAAAGCCAAAGAGCGATTCGCATCGTTGGAAACGTTGACACTTGATACTTGCATACTTTTTGATTGCACTCTCAATGCGTGTAAGGAAAGTCTTCAAGTTTTACATTTGGACGATGTAGTTTTTTACAGTTCGAGTGGATTCAAACAAATCTATCGTCCACTGCTTGCTTTCATCAGAACGGCCAAAGTTCTATGCGAATTGTCGATAACTGGATGCCATGATGTACCGATGACGGTATTTGCTGCGATCAGCAAATTGTCAAATCTCAAAACGTTGCGGCTCAATGGCAATACTATTGTGTCGGAAACACAATTCGATCAGCAAATGCCTCAGTTCAGTGCAATGCAAAATTTAACAACATTCAATTTTGATTTGTTCGGACATTCGGCATTTCAAATCGTTCATGGTTTGGTCGCAAACAACGTTGCAATTGAACATTTAGAACTGCACAACTGCCCATTGGACAATGGAACAATCGAACAAATTTGTCAAATGCAAAGCATCAAGGTGAGTTGAAAGGATCGAGAATATTGCACGGCATCAAGGAATGAATGAGAACAAACATGTTTTTTAAAATTTTATTTCCATAGAATCTTTCATTGGACCGTTTGAACAACGAGAACATTCTGCGCTTAGGCTCCGAATTGAAGCAACTGATGAAATTTTTCATTTCGTCTTGTAATATTGTTACACCCGAAGGACTCACAGCAATGCTGCGTCAAGCCAAACGACTCGAATATTTGGAAGTAAATATGCCAAATTTCGTATTTTCACTGAATACTTACGAGAACATGCTGCATATTATGAAAAGACGCAAAGAACAACGCAAATTGGACTTTGTATTTCACACCTATGGGGACGAACAATGGGATTCAGTCGATGTTTTGGAAGAAAACGAAAAGTGGCTCAGCGTAAATGAGTGCGTGCACTTTTTCCGGCTTATTCTTTTGATTTAAAATTCAAACGAATTTCATTCCATTTTCAACACATTCACAACGGAAAAACAACCGATTTAACCAGACATCAACAAATGTCGCGATTAATTTGAAAAAAAAAAGAAAAAAAACAAAAAAAAAAATAGAAATTACAGTTATACACATTCAATTACGTTACACATATGTGTTATTACCGTATTAGAATCGTTTTCATTACTTTCGTTAATTATTTGTAAAACGAAAGATCCATTTGGGTTACTTAATATCCACCTGTGGAGCCCAATTCTCAAAATGACTCAATTTTATATCTTACTTGCGTATTTTATGAAATCCTTACACAATCAACATTTAGGTTAACTTGAATTTCCTAAAGAAATTACTCAATTCAATCAGTGTAGACTTCTGACAAAAAACTTACCTTTGATCAAATATGAAAAAATCACCATTAATGCAACTAATTTAAAAAAAGAGTTGAATTCTATTTCTATTTGTCATTGTTTTATAACCGTTTCATAATAAAAATGCAAAACCTAGTTAATTTTTCCAGCGTGTTAATTTATTTTCGATGCAAATGCAGTTTTTAAAAACAAAATCATAAAGAAAAGCGTACAAAAGCCAGTTTGTTCATGTGAAAATATCACCAAAAAAGGTCACCTATGAGCCATTATTCTGAGATGCAATATATTCGTTATATTTTTTCTCTTGGACAATTTGTAATTTTTCCAATTTTTTAGTGAGACCTTTGCTAATCTTTTCACCTTTTACATCTAACGTTGGTATTCCGCGTTCATCGAATGCTGAATACTTGTCGGTTTCATTGAGAAACATTTCCTTGGGATTGATTTTACGTTGGGTTTCAAGTGCGGCCGCAGCAGCAGCAGCTTCTTGGCGTTTTTTCTCTTTCAGAGCCTGCTTTTCGGCTTCGGCCTTTTTCTTTTCATCACGTTCTTTCAGTAGTGTATCGCGATCAACTAATTTTATTGAAGCGGCTGCACCTTCCCGATCCTCCAATCGAACACCCAAATTAGGCAAAATATCATCACGCAGAGCATCGCATATGTTCAAAATTTCCGTACATTTTTGACTACGAGCCACTTCACGCACTGAATTACGGAACTCGGCCAACGCACTGAGATATGGCATAACTGTCTCCTCGGTCTGAAAATAAATACAAAGAACAATGAAAACATTAAACACGAACTATTAACGAAACCAAATTCAATATCTTTAAAGCACTTACATCTCCCGATTTTCCCGAATCGACAGGAAATCCGATACCACCACGTGGTCCTGTGACAACACCAAAAATATGTAAAATATCTGTGACATATGTGGCGATTCGTTTCAGCAATAGAATATTCAATGATCCGGCAACCGAGCTATTATCTCGAATGTATACATTACAAAGACCAATCAAATCACGAATCACATCCAAAACGGTACGTGTGTCAATATTGTCGCACAACGCTAAATGAATCGATTTTTTGGCATCGTTAAACTTAATTTGTAAGTCATTCGATACTTTTGTCCACAATTGAAATATGCTATCAGGCTTCTCATCGTTTTGCGATCGGCGCAACAGATCTTTTACATTCAAAAAGAATTCCTACCAAAAGAAAAACATATCATTTGATGAAGTTGAATCGAAAATTTGAAAAATCGTTGATAAAAAAATACGAACATTTAAAAATTTCTTGTACTGAGTAGCCATTTCCATCGTATTATCCGAATAGTCAAGTGTATCTTTCCATGAATGAAGTAGAAATACTAAACGAAGGTCACAAGCCGAATTCTTGGTCAGTGCTTGTTGAATGGTGATGAAATTTTTCAATGATTTTGACATCTTACATCCGGATATGGTCAAGTGACCGGTGTGCAAGAAGTAATTCACCCACGATGCATTGTCGAAGTAAGCCTGAAAGTAGATTTTTTTTTTCTCAATAAGTATGGATGAATCTTTTGTTCAGAGAAAGTTTTAATTCTCACTTCACTTTGTGCCAATTCGTTGTCGTGATGTGGAAATTTCAAATCGACACCGCCCGTATGAATGTCCAATGTATCACCGCAAATATCGGATGCCATAACCGAGCATTCGATGTGCCAACCAGGTCTGCCGTTACCCCATGGGCTTGTCCACCACGGTTCACCTGGTTTACTTGTCTTCCACAGTGCAAAATCATTTGGTGATCGTTTTTCACTCAAACGATCCTCTGATATGCATAAATCACCTTCACCTTCTTGCAATGATTTTGTATCGCCATAAGCTTCTGGCACCAATTTTGCATAATGATGATGTTCGGCCGCATCAAATTTTGAAACATCAAAGTAAACCGAACCGTTCGATTCATACGCCAATCCATTGGAAATAATCTTTTCAATAAATACAACAATTTGAGGAACATATTCACTAACTCGCGTTAAAACATCTGGTGGCAAAATCTAAAACATGAAACAAAATCATTTTTATATCATTACAATTTTTGCAATTGATTGAAATCGTGATTTGATCATTTTCTATTTACGTTCAATGCATTCATGTCTTTATGGAATTCATTTTCCCAGAATCTTGGCAGTGATTCAAAAATTGAATTTTCGGTGACTGTTGAACCATATTTCTTGTCCAACCAGTCGGACAATGCATCTTTGGATTGTTGAAGGAAATTCGTACGGGCCGTTTCAATCGCTTTGGCATCGCCGGATTTTACGGCTTCTTGCAGAACTACATTTGCCTCGGTGATTCTGAAATCCAAACATGTATTACTTTACAGCTTTCTACAACCAGACGAGACTTATATTTTGATTGTGAAAAAGTATTAAAAAAAAACACATGACCAAATTCGGGCGAGTCACAAAAGAATGTGAAACATAATAAAAAAAATTGATGTCAAACAAAAACATGAATTATTTTCAATGAGAGTTTCATTGTATTCTTTTCATTATTTACTTACTGATTTAACGTACGAGCGAGCATTATTTTCTTATCCGGGTCGGTGTTCTTTGCAATGACATCATTCAATTGATCTAATACTTGTTTGTGATCTTCGAGAATTTGCTCAAGGTTAGCCGATGCTTCAACATAACGTTCATAAAGCCAATTTTGACGAGCACGTTTGATAATTTTGTCATCGATATCAGTGATATTCATCACATAAAGCACATTATATCCGAAGTAATTGTTCAGCACACGACGTAGAATATCAAATGAAATGTATGATCTGCAATTAAGTTTATGAAGAAAAATACATTCATAAACATTGTATTCGATTTATAATTTACCTTGCATGACCCATATGTGATGCATCGTAAACGGTTGGTCCACAGCTGTACCATGTTACATTATTACCATTTGCTGGTATGAACACCTCTTTTTGCCGGGTCAAACTGTTGAACAACCGTAATTTTGGTTCATTTTGTGATGGTGTCGGTGCTTGCCACGTTGGTTGACTTCGTTTTGACATCTTTTTCAACGCTGAAAATCGCTTATGTTAAATTAATGTTGGCGAACAAATGTACGTAGTCTTTGTCCAAACGCACAATGTAAACAATTTTGTCTACCTTTTGTGAAATGCTTGTGTATTAATCAACTATAAAAGAAATCGTTCGCGGATGGCACGATGTAAATATACAACTGAATCGAACAATGGATTTGTAAGTCGGCTGTCACTTTGCATCATCCCATTCAAAATCTCTTACTGGAATTGCGAATGATTCACACGCGGTGTCATTCGTATTCTCTGTGGGCATGGCGCAATGTAAAATAAATCCAAAAGATGGCGTCACATGCAAATTAAACTGTGTCACGCGTGATTTTCATAGAATTTATAAAAAAAATTATTCAATTTATGGGAATAATATAGTCGACATTTTTCTATTTTGCAAATAAAAATATTTTCTTTTTGAATTTTATTTGAAATTATTTTTGTCTTTTTTCTTAAACTCAATTCAATCAAACAAAATGAAATGATGGTGCACGTTTGCACTGCTATACCAGCGCAGCGGCACATTTCAAAATGTATGTAAAATGTTTGTGTGTGCGTGTGTACTAATGACATTTCATCAAGACAATTCAACTCACCGCATTTTAGATAGAGTGCTACGTGTTTTTGGTGTGTTACATTCGACAAGATTTGCACGCTGAATACAAATACAAAACACACAATACAAAGTGAAAAAATTCCATTTTATTTGTGAGCATCGGTTCTGAAATTCATTTAAATCAGCCAAAATGCATGGTCCAGCCGTATTTATAGATCTTACATTCGAAGATCAGGTAAATAAAATACTATAACAAAAAATGCAGACTACTTAATGCTGTGTATAACCTCAATTCATAAAAATCACGAAACTCAATTTGATTTATTTTCAATTTACTTGAATTCCAGGCACAAGAGTTGCGACGATTCTTCAAGAGTTTGGGAGCCGAAATTTCGGAAGAAAAATCCAATAAAGGCATTGAAGATGATTTACACAAAATCATTGGAGTATGTGATGTTTGCTTCAAAGACGGCGATCCAGCCGATATCGATGGCATAATGAACAGCATCGTCTCAATCATGGTTTCGGTGAGTTGTGTCCCTTTTTTCCCTTCCTTTACATTAAATTCCAAATGAATGGCAAAAAACAACACAAATAATGTTGAATTGTTAATTTTCAGATTTCATTGGAGCGTGGTGAAAATATTGTGTTGGCATTCTGCGAAAAGCTAACAAAAGCAACCGAACTTCCATTGATCAAAGTGTGCCTCCAATCGTATGTATCGAAATTGTTTTTATTTTTTGGTTTTAACATTGGCCGTTTGCATTGAATTAAATATATTTCTATTTCTCTTTTGTTCTTTGTCAAACAGTTTGTGGCGTTTGTTCAATCACTTGGAACTAACATCTCCACTTCGCTATCATGTTTACTATCATTTGGTGCAGGTGGCCAAGCAATGCGATCAAGTACGCGAAGTGTTCACTGGTGTTGATCAATTGAAATCTCAATTTGTTCAATGTCCACCATCGAATGAACAAATGCAAAAATTGTATCGTCTGTTGCACGATGTGCTTAAGGATACAAACAGCGAATTGGCCGCTAAAGTGATGATTGAATTGTTGGGCACTTATACCGCTGAAAATGCATCCGTTGCACGTGAAGATGCAATGAAATGCATTGTTACCGCTTTGGCCGATCCAAATACATTTTTATTGGATCCATTGTTGTCACTAAAGCCGGTTCGTTTTCTCGAAGGTGAACTTATCCATGATCTATTGTCGGTGTTTGTATCAGAAAATTTAGCCGCCTATATTCAATTTTATCAAAATCACAAGGAATTTGTGAATTCGCAAGGGCTCAACCATGAACAAAATATGAAGAAAATGCGATTATTGTCATTCATGCAATTGGCCGAAAGCAATCCGGAATTGACATTCGAACAATTACAAAAGGAACTGCAAATTAACGAAGATGAAGTCGAACCATTTATTATTGAAGTATTAAAGACGAAATTGGTGCGCGCTCGTATGGATCAAAAGGCACGCAAAGTACACATTTCCAGCACGATGCATCGAACATTTGGCAAACCACAATGGATGCAATTACATGATCTATTGCGCGCATGGAAATCCAATTTACAAATTGTTCAAGAAGGCATGAAACAAGTAGCAGACACACAAGCCGGTTTATTGCATAAACAACAAAAAAATAACTAAACAATTTATAAATCGAACTCACGATTTTATAATACAAAAATAATAATAAAAAAATTTCACCATAAATTAAATTACGATTCATTTCACAATACGAACTATTATTGAGGAATTTGATAATGCCAATAAAAACAGAGATACGATGGAGATTGATGCGTTTTATTTCAAAACAAATTTATATTTCGTTTTTTTGGACAATTCTTGATTTTTACCTAAAATATTATATAATTATATTATCAATTTGAAAATGTCTCATTTTTCAGACAAATTGTTTTATATATTTTGCTATATGACAAGCAAAAAGAGCTTTAATAATTGATTGCCCGAGAATGAAAGAGAGACTTCTATTCACAACTTATTGAAATGTAACACCACCATACAAAAAGTGCTGACTGTTAGAATATTTTGTATGGCGGTGTTACATTTCAATAAGTTGTGAATAGAAGTCTCTCTTTCATTCTCGGACATTCAGTTCTAAAATGTTACAAATTACTGAAAAATAAAGACCAAAAAAGGTCCTCACTTTGTCCCTCTAAAATCAACTCAAAAAAGCATTTCGACACACTTTTCCGCTCAAAACCCTGGCAAACAAAAGGAATTTTCGAAAAGCCTATTCTTCGTTTGTGTCAAAAGTGAAAACCAAAAAAAGTGGATTTGGACACTGGTCAGAAGCTATGTTCTATTGGAATTTGGTTATTCGACAATAATTTCCTGACAAATAAATTTCTGATACGTTTTTATTTATACTTACAAATATACAAATTATATTTTTGATCAGCTGAAAAATAAGTGAAATAAATGTACAAGTCCAATTTTAAAATCGAATAAATTTATTTTTTATTTCAAAATATTTCTTCTTTTTTTTCTTTATAAAAAAATGTTTACATTCGTTATTCGTAATGGGTGTAAAATGTTCAACAAATTTCTCGTAATTCATAAAAATAAAATGAAAAAATGAAGAAAATCCAAAACAAAATGAAAATAAAAACCAACAGAACATTGCACTACGGCGATGTGTCGATGTTTTCATTAAATATATGTATATCAAATAGCCGAATTCAAAGTTTTAAAAAATTGGAATAAGCATTTATTTATTAGCACTGTAAATGATGACCGAAAGAACTGAATCGAATACACTATATGCTATTATTTATGAATGATTTTAAACTCATTTCAGCAAAAATCATGTCAATGTGATGAAGAATTGAGTTGAGATGGATATTGTGGTGACGATTTTGATACGAACACTGTTTAAATGTTCTGAATCGTTCGAATTCCATCTGAATGAATCACTTTTAACGAATTTTCATTTTTAGTTTTTGCATTTAGTATAATAGTTTTCTTTTTTAGATTTGTACTTTCTTTGTTTTATTTTGTTTAAATAGTTGATGGCTCCAGACTGGGGTTAAATATTTTTTTTTTTTGTTTTTTTTTTGTTTTTTATTTTGGAAATGTGAATGTCACTTACCCGTTTTATTTTCATTTTACAGTGCTCAAACACTATGAGCACTGTACATGTATGCGACGCGGTCTTTAAACTCGCGAGCAAAACATTGTTTAAATAAAATTACTTTTTTGGTCGCCTCGTTTGATATACCAAATTGAATGGTACTTATAAATTCATGCATCTCTTGTATAATTCGATGGTATTGTTTTCCTTTTATAGAAATCCGTGTCCATGCAAGAGACATATTGTGTACATAAAAAAATCGTCTCAATTCCCGCAGTGTTTCACCTCCTAATCGAAATTATCTGCGAAGATAGAAAATGATGTGCTCCATTTAATGGATGAAATTTTTTCGTTTAAAATTTTGACAACGAAATCTTTGTTTTAAAGATATGTCCCATTTTATATGTTTATCGCGATAGAAAACGAGATGGTCTTTTTTTTAATAATAATCAAAGCACAACAAAATTCTATTTTGCAAATAGACTCAAACACATTAAGCTCATTCAGTTGAAATTGAGTATAGAAACCTGTTTATTTACACCGACAAATGCTTGTATTCGCATTGTTTATCCTCACATCTCCCCATCAAATCGTATGGACACACTATCGCATTCCGATCGGCAACACTAAATCGCAAAACATAATTTTAAAAAAAGAAATACACATCATGAACCATGGTTCCACTTTTTTTTCGACCGACGATCAACTTATGACACGATACACACCTCAGCTCCTCCTTCGCGTTTGTACAATTTTGCATATGGTCCAATGGTGAATCGTATTTGCCACAAATTGCTTCACTGTCCGTCACATTTACTTCCATCATCATGATCGGTGCCTGCGATTATCAGAAGCAGAAATGTAATCACCAAAAAAACAGTTGAATTTTTTTTTTGCTATTTGAATTCAGGTTAGTAGGATTATTTATCCTCTGTTCTGGAAAAAAGTAATTGCAAAAATATTTAACAAAAACGTAAAAATAAGAAGATGTAAGTAACTGTAAGATTATCTGGTGATGACGGTTGCTCATCGGCTTCGACCGTTTCGCATTCATTGTTTTGGTTAAATTGTAATTCCGGTTCATTCTGGTCGACTTCTTTCTCTTGTTCTTTTTGTTCTGGTTCATTTCTCATTATTTCTACATTTTCTTTGGGATTTTCAATTTTTGTTTCGGTTTCACTCTCAGGTTGACACGTTTTTTCATCACTTTTTGATACCTTGATATTTGGAAAATAAAGAAATTAAAATAATTAGAAAAAGCGCTTCATCAAAATAAATTTTTTCAAAAAAGATGGATAGAATGTCATCAAAATGATAAAATCCACTCACCACATCCACTTCCATTTCAACGTGTTCTATTTTCTGAGTAACTTGAGTGTCTAAGCTAATTGGTTCGCATATAATTTCGATTTCTTTATTTTTTTCAACGTTAGAATTAAGTGACACATTGATTTTGTTGTCATCAAATTTTGCTGGCGAACTTGTAGCCATAGTTGGTTTTGATGTTTTTACAGTGTCTTCTTTTTTCTGTACCGGATTACTGCTTTGCAGTGATGGTATTGAAGCATTTTCAATCACTTTTTTCGTTGCGACTTCTTTTTTTGCTAATTCGGATAATTTGGTCGGTTGTTTGACAGGTTGTGTTTCAGGCATCTTTTGTCCCAATAATTTCATTTTATTTTTTTCAAGAGCGATTTGCTTTAGTTTTTCTTTAATTTCGGCTGCTTTTTCACACTGAATTCTGTACCATAGATTTATAATATTAGCAAAAATGTACAACTTTTTTTTTTAAATTTAATTAGAAAAAAATGAAAAATAAATTATCCAATACTTGTCTCAAATTATCATTTCAAGGACTTGGATTTAATAGAATTCGCTCAGAATTTGGTTTTAATTTCATTTCTTTTCATCATTTGCACTCTAAACTTACTTGTAATCTGGTCCATTGACAATGTTTCCGACACGATTGCAGAGACTTTCCAATTTCAACATCATTGAACGATCCGCTGTGATTGCCTTCTCCGTGGCCGCTATAGATGGATAGAAACTTTTGGTCACTGTTTTTTGTTGTGTTAATTTTTTTTCAACAAGTATTGTTTGTCGCCTCAGATTATCTAAAACATCTTCGAGTTTTTGTTGTTTTCTCGTTTCAAGATGCGTCCGACATGTCAATCGATGTAATTTTGTAAGACCGTTTAAATATTGTTCCCTGGATAAGACATCAAAAATATTACCGTCTTTTTTCGGATTTCTGTTGACTAAAAAGTGTTTAATAATAGAAATAAATGCATACCCGTAATTTTTGTATCGAACGACATAGTTGGCTAAAGTAGTGGCCGTCATAGTGGGCGCCTTTTTAGTAATTGTATTGCCAGTCGATGGAACTGGTTTTGATTGGGTGGTGAGAACAATATCAGCAGAAGTAGATGCAACCGTTTGCTCTGGTGGTGTAGCTATTTGCATTGGAGTCGTTGATGTTGTTGCAGCACTTTTTACTGTTGATATTTTGGCATTGGCATCTGTTGCTTGTGCCATTGCATTTTTCACCAATACCTTTTTCGCCAGCGAAGTGACTGTTGGAGTTTTAGTTGTTGATACTTTGATCACCGTTGGTATTTTGATCACTTCAACCGGTGATTTTGTAACATCTTCCAATTCCGATGTTTTATTTGTTTGAATAAAGCGATTGTCATTTTGAACAACAACTGTCAAACTCGGGAAATTCGATTCCGGTTTACTCGTTGGTACGTTCACGCTTGTTATAGACGTTTGTCGTTTTCGTGATTTTTGATCCTTTTGTTTTTCCAACAATTTTATACGATTCTGCAAACGATGATACTCCATTTGGCTTGACAATGGCAAAAGAGCAACCGCTTTTGGTGGTTCGACATTCTGTGTAATCCAAATGAATCAAACAGAAATAAATTAAATTTTCTTAAATTATTTATTTTATTCTTTTTTAGTTATTAAAAGACCTTTTACCTGTGTTTTTGGGGTAGAATTTGTAGTTTTTTCGACTGTTTCATTATTTGGAGATGCTGGTAACTTGACTGATGGCTTGGTTTCTTGCTTGGTGGTGGTGCTTTCTCGGAAAATTTGCAAGTAATGATCAAGTCGAGATTGGAATGCGTTATTCACGTCATTTGATTGTGATGTCGAGTCGTTATCAGTCTGTTTATTAGTCGATTTATCATCATAATCCGTGTCATCGGTAGATGAATCGTCTTGTAGAGATATGATAAGTTTTTTCACCGGTTTTGCCGTCCAGTTTGTAATAATCGGTGACGCCGTTGACTTTCTGATTGACTCGATTTTATTTAAATTCGTTGTCGTATTTATTGTTGGCGGTATTTTTGTTAATACGGATGTGGCCAAACTTAATGGTTGTTCAATGGGTTTTGGTTTTGCCTTTGGTTTTGTGACTACATTTTGTTTTGTCACTGGGCCAGGCTCAACGATTTTTGTTAAAATTTCTTTTGTTGGTCGAGCTACTTTTGTCGGTATCGCTATAACTACGTTCATCTTTTTCGCATCACTTTTATCCACTTGCGGTACAGCCAATTTATCAATTTTTTGAACAATATCACTAGGCATCGTAGATACCGTTTCTTCAGCATTTTGAACGGGCGTAATATTTTGAAGTGATTTTAATGGCACAACAGCCGGTGTTTCAATTACAATTTTGGAATTGCGTGCATCGTTTTCATTTTTATCGAGTTGATTATTTACAGCAGTCTTTTGAATTTCATTGTGATCACAGTTTTGCATCAGTTTGTCGTCGACTTGTTCGCTTTGTTTTGAACCCAACTGAACGCTGGCCGACTTAACTGGGTCCGTCGCTGGAACAACTGTTGTCGTTGTAGTCATTGTCGTCGCAGACGCCGTTGCTGCTGCTGCCGCTGCAGCTGCCAATTTATTTTGCTGATTATTTTTCAGTCGTTTAAGTGCTTCGCGAAGGTTAAGTGCTAACTTTGGCATATCATCGCATTTATCTTGATTGGATGGAATTTTATCAGTTTTGGGTAACGTTTTCGTTACAGTTGAATCATTTGTTGATTCCTTCAAAATGGCCGATTTTTTACCCTTGGACGAAAGCAATAGACTTCGTAGACAATCCTCTTCTAACGAATCATCATTACTATTTTCTTTTGTCACATTTTTTCCGATCGCATCAATCGTACCATTTGAACTGGGCGTATTTGTGCTACGCATTTGTTCAATCAATTGGGCACGTAATTCTTCCTCATTATCCGCATTGACAGCATTATTCTCTTTTGAATCCGATTGAAACGGTGTTGGTATTCGATTTTCAATCGTCACTGCTTCGTTTGGTATTGTATCGAAAATTGATGAAAATGCAGATTGTGATTGGATGTCAAATGGTTGATTTAATGCTGCAGTGGCCGAATCAATGTCCATGTATGTTGGATTGCTTGGATTAATTGGCACTGGAATATGAACCGTGCCCCAATCAATGAATTGTTCATACGGTGGAAATTGTTGTGGTTTTTCATAGCTAAAAATGGGACTCTTTGAATTCTCATTGCTGCTGGCCAAATCCATGTCCATTGGTTGATACTGATTACCCGGCGAGCTAATTGGACTAATATCCATATTATTATTATCTGAATCGATGCAATCATTGCTACATTGTTCACCAGTTTCATCGGCCACCAAAACCACACTATCGGTTGGTGAATACGGTCGAACAACTTGTTCAATCAATTGAGTTGCCAATTGTTTTCGCTTTCTGGCTTCATGTTTTTTCAAAACGGCCGATTTCAATGCGATTAAACGTAGCTCTTGTTCTTCCAATGACATCACTTCATCCTCTTCGATTTGAATATCATTCTCATTGTTATTATCTTGATTTGGTGGAATTTTCGTTCGTGATGAATCAATTCGGTCTCGTTCGATTCGTTTACGTTTTGATGGCATAGTTTCTCGTGATCGTGTTCGTTTTCGGCGTTCGGGACTTCGTATAGTTTTTCGCTTTCGATGTTTACTTGATGATGCTGATATGGTTTTTTTGCCATCGTCCAATGTAACATGATTTTGTATTGCGGACAATTTATGTGATAATGTACTCGAATTTACTGAACGATTCGACGGTTCTATGATATTCAATGCCATTTTTAATTCTTCGCGATTTCGTAATAATTCATCTTCTGAATCGCTTGAGTATTTTCCACGGGCCGTTTTGCGATCTTCGTATTTGTGGCTTGTACGTTTTTTTCGGCCAATTATTACATCGATTGGATAACACTCGGCATCGGTGCAACGACGCTTACCATGTGCTATACATCGTTCTTTTTCATTCACAACGGAACGTTGTTTGCGACGACTTTGACGTTTTTCCTTTTTTGTTCGATGCGATCGACCACCATATTTGCTGCTGTCAAACACACTCGATAATTCATTTTCAATATTAACGACTTGTGCCTCATCCGATGATATGTTTTCAACATGTGACAATGAAAGTGTTTTATAATTTGAAGCGGAAGACAATGATGCATTTGATTTTGTATGATTTGAACGAATGATTGTTGGTGATTTGTAGTAATTTGGCGACCGTCGATATCCTATTGATTTTTGAGCGGGAGGAAAAATTTCAACAAAAAAATTTAAGTGATTTTTTGTTCATTTGATTTAACGAATTGAGAGGTGTTGAGACGATGAAATTAAAAAAAAATGTTGTAGTCGACCGAGTATATTTCCACGTACATTTGATTTCATATTAAAAAATCGCATCATAATTTAAATTTCACGTCGAAAAAATGCAATACAATAGAAACTGGAGAAAGTAATCAACAAATTCGTGTCATAGTCGTTTTTTTTTTGTTTGAATAAATTAAAATTCACTGAAGGAATTGATTACGTTATCATATTTACATAATTATGTTATTTAACTTTGGCATACATTTGTTACTTCTTTTTTTCTCAATCTATTGAGCTCAAACTCACCATAGTCAATGCCTCCTCGAGCGGAAATTGATGCAATTTTTTCCAATTCACGATTTTTCGCTTCGAGTGCTTCGATTTTCTGTCGCAGAGAGACTTCCTCTTCAGATGAAATGGCTTCATATTCAAAATCTTCGTCCGAATTAATGATTTCACCTTCTTCACGTTCTCCATCGTCAATGATGACAATTGTTTCGGGCTGGATTGGATATTGTTAAAATTTTGATTACCATTTTTGCAGACGTTTTATTGAATTGTGACGCTGTGTGTGAACAAACAAACCTCTTGTGAAACCGGTGATGTAAGATTGATAATCTCGTCCGTTGATTTTGAATCATCGATGGTGGAATTAATCGATGGAATATTTGCAATTGGATCGGTTTTTGTTGTATCATTTGTTGAAATTGTTGTTGCCGTTTTGGCTGGTATTGCATCCAGTACATGTTGACCATTGAATTTTATAAATTCTTTGTTATATGTGGGTTTAATCTCGCTTTCCATACTTCCAGCTTCAAAATCGCATGAAATGCCCATAATTTTTGTAGATCGAATACACACCACTCACCATATCAAAATTCAATTGATTGCTTGCACATGAACTTAACCGATACTGGAATATAATCGTTGAAACATGCAACAAGCGTATCGATCGTGCCAATAATATTCAATGTGTGGTTGTTATTGTTGAGTACGCGTGCACACTTTTTACACTTTTCAAAAAGGCAACTAAACTACTTGAATGACCTCCGTATGTTGTAAAAACAAATGTAAAATTCTACGTCTCTAAACATTCGATGCATGTGATACGATTTTGAAAAACCAACAAAAACAAAAATTGGTGCTAAACACAAATTAAAAAAAAAAAAAATCAAAGTTAACTATGTAAAATTGCACGAACCAAAAAAAAAAAAATAAACGTAATTTTGAAATTAAATTCAAAAACTAAAGAAATTCAAAATTAAAAATTTATTCGATATTCGCATTTGAATACACATAATCCAATTTTATTTTTATGGCCTTTGTATACTTCAAAGAAAAAAATGGACACATTACAAATGCAACTTGCAATTTATTCAGCGAATGTTATTTCTCTTTGGCAGCTTTGCTCACTATTTTATTATCAATTTCGAATATAGATCGAATATGGTTCGGCGCTTAAACAATGTTTTATTTTATGAACATTGTGAAATTCAATGGAAATGTGCTGATACAAGGCATTCTTCACTTTATACGAACTTATGAAATGTCAATGAAATATATTTTGTCACACATTCCACTTTTAACAACTTAGATGGCGTGCGCAAGCAAAATACACATACATACAAAACATATACGGGCAACACTTTCATTTCTATCACTTGTTGCCCGATTCATATTCACATTCACCTTCATTTTAAATTTTTAAAATCAAAGAAAATGGCCAATGAATTCTTCTTTTCACCAATTTTCTGTATTAAATAAGAAAAAATAATGCGGCACACAAATAAATTTCAAAATAAATCACGATTTGGAATAAATTGAAATTTCATACCCAAAAATTAAATTTTAAATTGAAGAAATTGATTTTTTTTTGTTAAATTCAATCTGTTGTACTAATTGAATACTTAAAATTCAACTTTTTCTGCTGATTTGAAAGAAAAACTTTTAATTTCATATTTTATGAAATGAATAATAATAATAATAATACCTAAATGTTCACATCAGCAATTTGCAATGAGGTAATTTCCAAGCAAATTCGTGTTCTTATGTTTTTTTTTTTGTTCTGTAATGCATTTCACTTAGCCGTATAATACTATCGGTGTAATAAAATCCATTTCGCTTTTATGACCATTTCGCAATCAAAGTGCATAAACATGAAATTCAAAGAATATTTCGTTTTTTTTGTTGCTTTTCACATGGCTATTGTAACTGACGTACATACATTGAGTGTGAATTTGTACGGCCATCGAATAGCATGCAATTTCTTGGTATGAAATCATTTTGAATGATGGCCTCAATATGAATAAGAATAATAATTTTCAATACGGCTCATCATTGACGGCAGATGGAATAGGGCGTGCGAAATTCATTATATTTTCTTTTCGTAAAGAAATTTAATTGAGACTGAAATCCATTGGAATGGCAATTATTAAACTACTCAATTAAAGTGTGCATCCAAAGGCCTATTTCACAGTTAAATTTCGCCAAAAACAAAACAAAAAATCTTTTTGCTTTTGTTTTAATCCAATTAAAAAAAAAGTAACGAATCTGCAATTTTATCATGAATTGATAAAAGAAAATAGACGAAAAATGTACTTATGATAAAAAAAATTAAGCCTGTAATAAACCGTCATTCCATGATTGGGCCATAAAAGTTTGCTATTTAAAAGGTTTTGGTGTTGTTATTGTTGTGCGAATAATGACAATAAATTTTACCGTTCATCGAAAGAGAAACACAAATTTGAATAAATAAATATAAATTAAAGTAAAAATATTTTTGTGTTGAAAATAATCACCGAACCCGTAAACCGTATACAAAACGCGAGACGATATTAAAGATGTGAAAAGAATTGGAAAGCTTATAAGAGTGTGAGTTGAAGAAACGCGATGAAATTGAAGCGATTTGTTGGTTGTATAGTCAACGCGGGTCAAATTGACTTTGCAATAACTGTTCTTGATTTCTTTTTTTCTTCTTTTCTTCGCTTCTGTGTATGGCTGTCGTACTTGGTCATTGATTCAATTGAATCCGAAATACAAAAAAAAAATCAATGCGAAGATGAGTTAATGCGTTCGTTTAAAGGTTTTTTTTTTCTCGCAAAATGTTGAAGTTGAGATATCAGAGAAGAAAAAATTACTATGTGAAGAGAAACGATGAAATAATGATTTAAAAATAAAACTATAATACAATACGATTGAAGCAAAAGTAGTATAGTGGAGCAGAGAACTTATAAAAACAACGAAACAAATTTAAGTATAAAATATAAAGTAATTTCTCTGGTCACATCCCGGAGTTCGGTCTTAAAGAAATGGTAATTAATCGGCAAATAATATATCCAAAAAAACAACAACTGCGGTCCGTGTATATATTAACACAGTAACAGCACAGCTGAAGCGTTCATACATGTATCTGCGCATTTGAATTGGTGTGTGTGTGTGTGTGTGTGTGTTTGTGTGCGTATATATGTATAAAGTCTTTTCTCATATGGTTCACAATAGATGGTAGAGTGAGCTTGTGTATATGAGTGTGTAAAAAAGGAGCCCGGAATTGTGTGCGACGCAATACACGAGCGCATTTTGACAGTAGCTTAAACAGTCGTTTTTGTTGTACACTACTTATAACATAGGTATGTCGCTTTTGGTATCGAAGTAAGATTTTATTAAAAGAAAAGATAGAAAAAAATTGGCATCAAAAAGTGATTTTTTTTAAATAGAAAATTTTCGATTTGATTGGTAATATTTTGTTGGCATAGGCTTATTTCATTAGAAAAATTTCTATTTAAAAAAGAAAAAAAAAAGATTAAATAGAAAATCAGATAAACAAATCAACTTGACTTGAAATAGTTAATATAGTCAGTTCATTAATATATCTGTGTTAATATCAGCAATATAGAGGGATCACATCAGTTCGGCATTTATTTTTCTTGTGTCGTTATTTCGTTTATCTAACTCTGAAACAATCATGAATAAACAAAATTATTGTCGATCACAAAATCGGCATTCAAACGTGTGTGATGGTGTTGGAACGATTTCAAAATTCTGATGTTGTTTGAGAGAATTTTTGTGCAACAATTCTCTTTGCACTATCTCTTAACGTACAAATATACGTGAGAATGAGAATGTGTAGTCACTTGAAAAAAAAATACAGACGCATAGAAGTTTGTGATAGAGAAGACGAAAAAAAAGTTGTTATGTGCAACTGACACTCAATTGAGTGACTTATATAGTTTTACTGAAAAACAAAAAAACAAAAATATTGTATATGTAACACCAACACAAAATATTTTAGATGAAGATAGATTTATTATGAGCTAGAATCATTGATTGCATGGCTCACAAAAAAGTGCTCTCAAAATGCATTGGTCACGATTTTACGCTTGTGAATTGATTAAATTTGTTGTTTTTTTCTCTCTCTCTATCTCTTTTCTTTAAATCAAAAATTTGCATTCGAATTAAGGAAACAACAAGACTAATAAAATAATAATAAACAACAAAAAGTCACAGTCGAGTGTGTATGTTGTGCAACTAATTGGATTGGTATGGTGATTTGATTTCTGTTAATTTTGTTGTTGTTGTTGAAATGAGGGAGAAATAGATTTCAATAACACTTTTGCAAACGTGAACGAGTCGACAGTCATTTTCAATCATTGTTTCCTCAAATGTACCATTTATGTTTTTGAAGCGATTGTTATGAGGCGCAAAGAACATGTGCGATATTGAATGTCAATGTGTATTTGTGCACAGTTTTTAGTGTGCAATGTACGTGTGATTTTGTATAGCTGAAGAACAATGGAGAGAATACCCCTTTTATGAATTTCAACTTACCATAGATAGAATATTCAATTTGATTGTTGATTTTTCAATGTCGTGTTCAAAGTTACCTAGGTTATTCATGAAATCAAATGGAATTTTTTTTTTCATGAAGGTAGATTCTGATGTTTAATCTGACAATAGGCAATTACTCGGCAATTTTGACCAAATCAAGCCGCTGTTCAAATTATCGCTATGTTCACTTTATTTCGATTGCCAGTAGGACCATCAAAGCCGATAGGGTATGAGAGGGCAAAAGAGCGAGAAATATAGAAAAACTTCATCTTCGGTCCAATCATAATGAACAATTCGTTGGTGATGGAAGTACTTTTAACGTGCGCAATTTATAACAAAAATAAATTATATATTAAATTTGTCTGTTCGTATACATAGATTTTTTTTATTCGTGTCTTCCTATCTCTCACTTAAGCGAATGGGCAATGTGTTTCGGCTCAAAACTAAAAAAAAATCAAGATATACCACAAAAAAAGAAGAATTATATGATATGTGTACGCGAATAAAAATAATAAATAAAAAGCAACAGTAGCAATATAGGTACAATATACATATAGAATTGCCCAGCACAGCTGAACGATACATATGTGTGCGTGTCGAAACAGCCGCTTGTATAAAATATAACGCGTTTTATTTGAATATAGGTATTTGCATTGAGAGTTAGTTGTTGTTGTTGTTATTTTTTCTCATCTCTATGTGTGTGACGTGATGCATTGTAAATGTATGTGTTTTGAACATATTGAGAATGGGACACAACATACGTGCTGCTTTGACAGAGCAAACAGTCGTTTTTGTTGTACATTTCATAAAACATACATATATATGTATATACAAAAGTCTACCGAAGTGTACGCTATATATAATTCAACAAAAATATAAAGTAGTCACTACAACAAATTTAGCTTGTGTAAATGTAGAAACTAACAAAAAATATTAATATTATAAGTAGATTTTTTCAAAATTGTGTGTTTTACCATCGGCATTCGTTGAAGTTTTATATTTTCGGTAAATGCCATTAGTGTGTTGAAGGATTTTTTTCTTGGCAGGATCAATGAATCGGTTTCATTCATTACTGTCATTAAAAAAAAATCGTTTTTTTTTTTGTATTTATCGGCATTTTATCAATTTTGCCGAAAATAATAAACAAACTGAAAACGCGCAAGCTTTAGTTCAATTTTTATTTGACTTAGGCCATCGTAAATAAACGAAATGATTATCAAAACAATCGGCTTTTATTTTGTGGCGTTTGTTTCATTTATCCTCTTCTTTTTCATTTTTGGTTTTTAGTTTGGCTTTTGTGCGGCAACAACTGGTTGAATGTGAGTGAACAGCAGCCATAAAAATTCAAGTCGAATTATTGTTTGTTGAACGAAGTGTGACGGAAGAAAACATTCGGTTTGGACGATCGCAAGAGAATACAAAAAAAAAGAGACAACAATTTAGTTATTTCTTTAATTTCATTTATTTTGAAATTGCGAGATAGAAGAGAGAATTGTTTCGGTGGAAAATAAGAACTATTCAAATTAAACTGACACACATCGCATCGAAAATTTAAGTGAGTGAAACAGAGAGAAAGAGAGAGAGAGAGAACAAAACCAAAAAGGAACGAAAGAAAGATAGACAGAAAAAAGCCACACAGAGTGAACGATAAACAACAAAATGCTGATCGCGTGCAAGTGCCTGAACATTACGCTTAAATCGACGGCCAATAATTTGCCAGTAGCAGTATCGATATCCAATTATGCATCGCCGAATGCAAACACCATTTCATCGTCATCATCACCATCGGTCAATCAACGCGATAATTTAGAGGACAATCATGAAGAGCAACCACCTTACATACCGTGTTCCACGGCCGAAAATCTCGATAGCAATCAATTGCAATTTTTCCGCACGGTAAATATACTCTATACATACCATAAATACGATATTACGATTATAGCTATTAGGTGTTGTTATTATATGTATACATATATATAATGATGTGATATAATCAATTATTTATGGTTGTTGTTCATGTTCCTGGTGTTGGCGGCTCAATTGGCTGACCATTTTCGTTCTCCTATATGTGCTTACTGCGAATCGATTTGCTAGCTAGCGCTTATGCACCCGCGCATCGTGTGTGTAGATTGTGTGAATGTGATTACAACAACTGCAAAAATTGTACTTATTTTGATAAATACATTCGTTTAGTGGCAATGCTCGGTATTATGATGCAACCGTGTGTGCACTGTTTTTTTTTCTGTCGCTTTGTCGTCGTCGTTCGCACAATCAAAATCATTTGTTTTAATAACCTGATGAGTTTCATGTTTGTTTGTTTCTTTCATTTTCTTTCTTATTCACTTACTTCTTATAGAGATTTAAACGCCAGTGGTGACGGCTAATTGAAATAGAGTGCTCCAGTGCTTGGAATTGCATTATTTTTTTTCTGTTTCTTCAGTGGTTCTATTACGCACGTCCTGGAGCAAACATGGCAATAACTAGGAAAGAGATGACGCGATTTGAACTAATCATCTATGCACTATTTTCATCGTCTGCTTGTAGTTTATTGTACAATCATCTTTTTCGAATTCATTTTATTACTACGTGCGGCGATGCTCGTGTAAAATATTCTGCAGTTGATTACAGTTTTCAATTGCTTTCGCATGCAACATTTTTTGTTTGCACTTCGTTTTGTTGCTAATGCTGGATGAACAAAAAAATAATATTAATAATAAAACAAATAAAAACTACAGTCATTCTTCGGCTACTTTTCACAATGAAAAAAAAATAATCTATTCATACATTCACGCAAAGAATACGAATGGTTTCAACGATCCGTTTGCTAATATGATTTTATATCATAAAATGCATTTTAATAAATTCTAATAAAATATGTGAGCACTTTACCAAGCACCGTTCTAATTGGTTGAGAAACGAAGGAAAAAAAATCTAATATTTTATACACGGGGAGTTTATTTGCGCCAAGTGACTAGAATGAGAGAGAGAGAGAAAGAGCCATGCAAAGCCACACAATATGAACACATACAGTAAATATTACAAAAAAAAACAACAACCAACCGAGCCAAGATATATTAATTCTATGTCATGAACGCGTGATGTGTATAAACGATTAACGTAACGCCTACAAAGCAACTGCAATGTGACGATCGTGTAAGAAAAAAAAACAAGAAGTAAATACATTTCTTCTCGTTTCAGTCGTGCAAGATCTTATGCTCGCTTCTTTTCTTGAAGAAATTATTGTTAGAAAAAATATAAAAGATGTTCAACAATATTTTCAATAAGAAAAAAAAGAGAAAGAGAGAAAGCAAGACAGTGATGACAAGGGAACCACATAGACACACTCAAGAATGATAAAAGAACAAATAATCCAGACATATTAAATAGTAAGATGCTACATCTCGTATTATTATATTTACTGCACGGGAAACTTTTTTTTTATCTCTTTCGTGCGAATCGCAGCACGGTGTGATTATGATAATTGCAGCGATCGAAGTGTATGGCCAAACAAAGCGTGGTTGCGTTTTATTCAATGGCCGAAATTGTTTATTGCTATATTCGTTCTTGTTGACTTCCTTTTTTCGGTTGCTTAAACTTTTTGAACATCGATAAAATCTTGTTCATCGTTTCGAAATCTATTTTCTTATCGTGTGAGTGTATAAAAAAATATCTCTCCGTTTATAGCGTAAACAAACGTATAAATGGGGTTCATTAAAAAAATGGTCTCTTTGTTTAATATTGAATTGCTTGATTCTTTAAAATTGATAAAACATTATGATTTGATTTTGATTTTTTTCTCATTTCTATAGGCCAAACTATCCACTGCATCTTTGATTGCACCAGCAATTCAACACAAAAATTTGATAAGTGTTGCGTTGATTGAAAATTGGAATGTGCACACCTGCCGTCATTGCAAAACAATCACTCACGCCCAGGCCAATGATTCGGCAAAAACGCTAATCAATCCATCGTTATGGGTAATTATTTGTTGCTGTTGTCATTTTGGCTAAATGCCATTTCGACCTTTACCTAATCGTCTCATTTCGAAAATAAACAACAACAAAATAATACCGATTTATTTGTTTCTCTCTAAATTTCAGACTAACCAAGAGAAAATCAACATAATTAAAACGCAAAAATTCTTTTCTAAGTCATTTAATATTTTACTAAATCCGAAGTCAACCGATGTTGAAATGATTGATGCAACAAACAATATCAAAAATAAGCATGAAAATAACGGCAATAATCGAACAAAACAACTGAGGCAATATCTAAAGAATATTATTCAATCCGAAACGGAAGCCACCGAAGACCGTATCGATCTATATACTAAACAACAAATGGCCACTCTACGAGCATTTCGAGAAAAAGCCGAACAAGACTATCAAGACATTTTACGGTGAGTTTTTTTTCTTTTCAATATTTTTCATCTTAGAATACATTTGGTGGTGAATGTTCTTACGCGTTGTTGTTTTTTTTTTCGTGAGCTATACACAAGGTTGTGCTAACAAAATTCCAAATGTATGATGCATGAAAACATTCCTTTGAAAATATATGTGTCTGGTGTAAATATTTGAAGTGAAATACATTTTTTTTTAAATCATGTGTATGAGCGTGAAAGATGGAATTAAAAAAAAGTCATTTGAATGTATTAATTCTTATGTTTGTTTATTTTTACAGGGCAATTGAAGACGATATGTCAATTAAAGGCATTAATAATATTGGTAATAATGAATCAAGCAATGATACAACATTGATGGGTAATTTAAGTGCAAATTCAAAGTTGTTGTCAGATCTGACGCCGCCAGTCACCCCAGATAGTACGCCAATGAGCATTGGCAATAGTCCGAATTTCAAACAACAACCCCAATCATTTTTGTTACTCAACAACCCCAATCAAAATATAGTCACTAAAAAACACGTACGTAGCCGTATCATAGTCGTTTATCGACAGTTTTATTTCGATCATATGACGTACATATGAAATGTGCGTTGATTTCAACATTACATTCTTATCGAATTTGTGTAATTGTTTTTACAGGCAGAAAAGATCAAACATTCCACACCAGACAAAGTATCTCAACGAAACTCAAATGCTGACGATGATATTTTCTTCGATATGGATGGCTTAGATACACGTGATAGTAAAATGCCACATATGACACAATCCGATGATGAAGTTGTTGATGATGATGAAGAGTATGGTATGAACTGAATGGATTTTTTGTTTTAATGAAAAAATTTGCAACAAAAACTTATTGTTACATTTTGATATTACAGAAGATTCGTATGTTAGTCGGAATAGCGGAATAAAAATTACGCCGACTGCACGAAAAACCAGTTCAAAAATGTATGTTGCACAAAGTCTTCCGATGGCTGTGCCGATTTTCAATCAACGCAACGAAGACGACTACGAAGAGGTAGATATAAAAAGGCCAATGGTAGAAATTGACTTTAGAAAACTCACCTTTCACCAAAATGTTGAAATAGTGAATTTTCATTTTAATTTCTATTGTTTTTTGTACTTTTATTTTCCATTTTATTTAATCGTCATTAAAATTCTTCTATTTTAGTATCCTGATCGACAAGATAATGTTGATATCGCTGCCAGTATAAAAGCTTTAGCACAGAGTGTACATGGCGAAGCAATTTTTGGTGATTTGCCGAAGCCACGATTCAGCACTCAAATCTAGTGTTTCAACAATCGAGAGACTATAATGTTTTTTACAAATTCTTTTTTCTAATTCATATATAATTACTGTAGACGTTTAAGATGATGGAAAACGATAATTCTAAAGAAAATCCTCATTTTTTCATCAATTCACAACATACACAATTCATATAAATGTAATAATCGTTTTCTCTTTATTAAAAAAGGGAGAGAGAGAGAGAAGAAAAAAACACTTTTGTTCGATAAAAAGCGAGTGAGCGATACAGATTCCTATTTTAAAAATGATTTATACAATTTTTACCTTGTAACTGATATACCTAACAAATGATATAAGTACCGTTGATTGGATTATTTCGAATCCATCGTGCGCTACGATGCAACACAGAATCCAAAATGAAAATGTCAAAAAACTGAAGTAAATTGTTCTCAATTTTTCCATTTTAGATTATAGATGAGGTGTAAATGGGAAACTTTCTTTGAGTTTGTGTTAAAAGAGTATATTTTGTTGAGAATTGTTGTCCAAGTTAATGAATGTGAATTCGATTTGAATAAATTTACAGCAATAAAAAAATAAAGTTCAAATATAAACGACGATTGCCATGTTAAAAAGTACATAAACAAAACTCGAATTAAAATTGAAATGCAACAAAAAATGTTTTGTATTAATTAACGAGAAAAATACAAACACAAGGAGATTCCAAGCAAAATAAACAATTGCATCGATATAAGTTGTTGATTTTATCCCATTTAAAGAACTCGTTGTACCAAATCACGGCTCTAACTGAATCAAAACAGCCAATTCGATTGTAGTTTTTTTATATTTTTCATTCTCTTGGGTGCGAACACAAATTTTCGTGCACCAAAATGAAGTCATATTTTCTATGTAAAAGAGACAAAAAAAAAAACAATATAAAAATGATTAAAAAAATTAAACTCATATTTGTTTTATTTTATTTCTTTATTTAAAAAAAAAAATGAGAATGAAAATATTTGTCTACACATTGGAAATTCATCAAACACGTTTAATCAATACTGTGACCTAAAACTCAATGCAAAAAATTAATATAACGAAAAAAAATCTTTAAAAAAAAATAATAAAAAAGAAATAGAGAGAGAGAATAAAATGTCATTAAATTCGTATAGAAGCTATAAAGGGTTCGAAATGAAAACGAAAAAAAATGAGCTCAAAATAAAATGGTTGGTTCAATGCATATATATGCAAATATTACAATCTGAGTCAAAACGTAATTTTTAAAAAGAGTGTATATTCGGTGTATGTATATGTTTGCTTGTTTATGTGTTTCTGGTTGTCGTTATGTAGATGCGTGCCATTTTAATCGGCAACTGCGTATTCTTCGGCCACAAAATCTTCCATTTCTTCCTGTTTCATTGATATTGATACGCCGACCGTTGGTTTGAGCATATGCACCGTGCGCCGATGTTCGCGTAATAAGTTGCGGCGATTGAATACCTGACCACAGCTATTACATGGCCAATCTCGTTCAGTGAATTGTGAACGCACTTCCAATTTCTTTTTTTTGGACATCAAATCACTGAAACTAACACTTTTCTTATCGCTGATAAAATTCTTTGATTTGAGATTCAATTTGATTTCGAACGTATGGTTGGCTAATTTATGTTTACGCAACGCTTTTGGCGTATCGAATACTTTCCGGCACTTTGGGCACTTCCATCGTGATTCACTCGTGTTGCTGCCACTACTGCTGTGCTTTACTACTGGCGTTGAATGCGATTTTGGTGGTGTATTGGTTTGTAATTTTTTGGCTGGTGAACTTTTTAATCGTTCCACATCCATGGCAACGGCGGCCGCTGTTGCAGCAGCGACAGCATCATCCGAATCGGCATCAAAATGAATGATCGATGCATCGGTGCCAGATGTGCCGGTTAAGAAGTTTGCATCTAAATCGAGCAATGTAAATGATTGATGCAAATTTCGATGAACAACATTATGATCGCGTAATAAACGGCGGGTACGGAATGTTGAGAAGCATTTTTTACATTGCCATCGTTCATGTTGGGCGTCGGCCGTAACATTCAAATTGAATTTTTTTTTCAACAGATTTACGTTGGTTTTTTCATGCTTTTGTTGTGCTGGAATGATTTTTTTCTCTTCTTTCAGTTTATTTTTTTTCTCACTGATGACGGTTGCGGTGGTGGGAGTGGTAGTGGCACTGCTAGTGGTTGCAGTAACCGCAATACCGCTTATATTGGCGTTCGTATTGGTGCTGGTTGGTTTCGGTGCCGTATCGGACCGTTCGAGTGCATGTTGTCGTCGATGGGCACGCAAATGTGCCCGACGCAAAAATCGTTTTTGACAAATCGTACACTTCCATCTCAAATCGTCATCGGCTTGCAGTGACGAATTATCGGCATCACTTTGTGTCGTATCTGGCCAATCCATTGGATCAAACACATATTCTACGGGTTCACTTTTAATATTGGCGATCAAAAATTGGTCGTCGAAACCATTTTGTGAATCATTGTTCTGTGACGGTGTTTCAATGTGACGATGTATATGCGAATGAATTCGAAGCTCAAGTTCACGTTCAAAACGTCGCCCACAATCACGGCATTCTAAATTATCGAGTATGCCTCCAGGTTCGGAAATTTCGAATTTTGGTTGTGCGCTACTATTGTCATCGTCTTCATTCATACTCATGCTGGACACCGAATCAGAATATGATGCCGTCAGTCTTTGGTTCGTTTCGTATTTCAATAACATTTCACGAAGTTTTTTCTCCGATTCTAAGTACGACAAACGAAATTCGTAGAACGCATATATCTTTTCGGCGCACAGTTTACACACATTACCACCCAAATTATCGTTTGGCTCCGGCTACAAAGTACACAATCAAGTATAAATCATCAATATTATATATATATATATATAGATATTCTTTTATTTACCACGCCAAAAATCCAATTTCAAAATAAATCAATTTGCAACGAAATATATTTTTCATTATAAAAATAATCTATACATACCAAAATGTGAATGGTTTCGGCTATCATGTGCGCCAACATCGTGCTGGATTTGTATTCTTTGAATATGGGCACAATATTTGTAGCCGTATTCAATGGAAACATACACGCACGACATTTTGTCGCATGCAATTCTTTGCTCATTGTGTGAAATATTATTATTCTCGGCCCTGGTCGGTGTGTTGTTGGTATTTTAACGCGTATTTATTTTATTTTTCCACAAATAATTTCGGCATCCGATAAATGAATGTCAATATAATAAGCAATGTTTGGAAAACAATGGCCTCTTTAATTTGAAAAATAACAAACGACTGGACGCAAATTCACTAATGATGTTTGGTACAATCAACACAACATGGAAAACTAACGATACAGCAACACTTTATGATATAGCACACAAAAACAATAATAAAACAGCGCTAAATCCGCAAATTTTGTATGACAGTTCTCGACTCTTCAGTCAGCAAACGAGCAAAATGGATGCGTTCAATGTCGCATACGAATGAGTTTTGAATGCATCCATTCACAATGACAATACTCTGGATGATTTTTGGTGCTAAACTCATATCATTAAAACAGTGCCGTTAACTTCGACAGAAACCATTAGTAAACGTTTAAGAAATATGTTGAGCATTTTTGTTGTATAGATTTGAATAAAAGCATTCATTGTCTGTGAATGATGCACTCTCGTATATTATTTCGTCCATTAATATAAAAAAAAAACACATAACTGGTGAAAAACAAATAGCATAAATCGTATTGCAGCCCGGCAAACTGCAATTTCAAAACAATCAACAAAGTGCAAAGTGCACAAAGAATTTTCATAACGATGTCGAATAATTCAAGAAATTCGCTGACCATATTAAGTCTTATTGATGCGGGCAGTAAGTAAAAAATTTAATTTTAAACAATGACATTCTCGATTGTGATTTTATTTCACCATAAGTCGAAAAGATTTCATGATTTCATTACACATACAATATATATAACTCAACAGATTGTATGCGCACACAGCAATAAACCGATGTACCGTGTGAAATGAGCACATTGTATGTCATTTCAAATTCACATATCAATATTTTCAATAAATCATTTCTTTATACAGATTTCGGTTGTATCCATTTGGCATGTAAAAATGGGGGTATAGATGATGGATTGTTATATGCAGTCAAGACCATTACTCCAGATCCGAAATTCGACTACTCACATCAGCATAGAATTTGTCGTAATGAATTCAGAGTAAGATAACCAAATTTTCTTATGACATTAGCCAATAGAATAAAATTCACTTTCGATTCAATCGACGAATAGACAATATTTTTACATAATTTGTTTCTTTCTAATGTTTGTTTTCGTTGTCGCTGTCACTGAATGATAACAATTTCTATCGATAGACGCTCAAATTGGTGCATGATGTTCCATTCTTCATTCAATTGAAGTATGCAAGCAAAACACGTCATGCATATCATTTTGTTATGGATTACATATTAGATGGTAATTTATTTAACCACCTACAAGCGGGCGTATTGACATTAAAAGAAATGAAAGTTTGTTGTGCGGAAATTATATTGGCCATTGAGTACCTACATCGTTATCGTATCGTATATCGTGATTTAAAGCTGGAAAATGTTCTAATCGCTGGTGATGGTCATATTTTACTAACCGATTTTGGTTTGGCACAAAAAATTAACAAAAACGAGCGGCTACAAGGCGAAGCTGGCACTTTGGCATATTTTGCTCCCGGTAATTATCATTTTTAAACACAAAAAAAAACGAATTGCATCATTAAAGCATGTGTATCAATCATTGTTCTCGATCTTTTTTCACCCCACAGAAATGTTAAGCGATAACGGTCATAGCTTCGAAGTTGACTGGTGGTCATTGGGTATTGTGGCATTCGAATTATTAGTGGGCCATTCACCGTTTTTGTCGTCAAGTAAGAGAATCGACGATCAAACACATCGTAGTCGCATTAAAAATGAATCACCTTATCTAAAAAAATTGAGTTACCTTGGTCCAAATGCGAAGAGCGTAATGGATTTTATCCAACAATTGTTAATCAAAAATCCTGCACAACGATTGGGTATGCTTTTCAACTCTAAAACTTAGTTTTTCATCTGAATAACATTTATTTTTCTATCCAATTAGGAGCCGGTCATGATGGATATGAAGCCGTGAAAAAGCATGCATTTTTCAGGTGAGTGGATTATCTCCTTCATATCAAAAAATTGCTCATTTATAGATGTTTTAATTCGTCATATTGATCATTGTTCTTTCACTCTTATTTTAGTCAATTAAATTGGACGATGGTTAAATTGAAGAAATACAGTTGCATCGAAAGAAAGCAACCAGGACAATATGTTAAAATTAGGTATACAAAACACTGCGAACTTTCACTCGAAGAACCCAAAGAAAATAGACGAAAAGGTATTAAAAGGTTTTTTCTTTTTTTTTTTTAAATCGCGATTCATTAGAGAAATATGATTTATTTTCAGAATTTTATTACGTTGCACCCGAATTTCAAGAAGAAGATGACTTCTTTGGATTCACCGAAGATGATATTAGCGCGTTGAGTAGTAAAATTCCATTGGAAGCGCCAATGTGTAATATTCAACTTAGATCGGATCTCCTTATCGTTACAAATAAGCCGACCGAAGTAATTAAGCAAATGATTCTACCGAAAATGACATTCAATGAAGCATTGCAGGAAAATACGGCTATGATTGTTGATGACGATGAACCGAATGATGAAAATGTACCAAATCGAAGTGACGACGACAAAGTACGGCGCAGCAACCGTACACCGAAACGTAACCGCCGTTTTTCAATGATATTTTGAATGACTATTTATTTATAACAATATTAACGACTAATTTTTCTTGGATAATTTAAGAGATTTAAATTATTTCAAAATAAGACACATTTTTTTAACAAAACATATTTATTGAAAATGAAAAAAAAAAAAGATTGAAGACATATTTTTTTGTATTTATTGCCGCAAGAGGCTGCGAGTATGACATTTTCTGATAATAAATACCAACATTTCCATCAATATAAAAATTGTGTTATTTTCCCTAATGGATCGAAATAGGAAGAAAAAAAGAAAACAATTCAAAAAGTATTGTGAAAATGCGCTCAAAGTGCGTTCAAAGCTCGATAAACTACTGCGGTACATTAAGTATGTGAACCGTACCCAAAACGAATGAACATACAACATACATTCATGTTTTGACAGGCACAGACAAGAAATAAGAAGAAGGCCCTTTCATGCACATAGCCCAATGCACACATGGAAAGACAGCAAAAACTACACTCACTTCTTATACACAAAGACGAATCGACGATTACGATTATATAAAAAAAATAAAGCAAATTTAGCAGCAATTTTCCATTGCAAGTTACAAAAATCGATGGAATATTGTGGACATTCGGTTATTTATTGTAAATTGCAATTGTTGCTGTTTTTCGTTCCGTTCACAGCCTTGTTGGTGTTGATTTAACAAATCAAGCGCAAAAATCTACGCATTTTGTGTATAATTCATACTGACATTACTCTTAGTTCGGAAAGGCTGTAATAAAAGTCAAAATACGCACACAACGACAAAATAAGCAGTGCATAGTTGCTTAAATCATCAAAACAATCATCACATCGTACGTGTTTATGTGGTTTTTGTGCACGAAGTAAAAGAAGCAGAACTAGAAAATAGCTATGAAGTGAATTTCTACAGCTGCAGGCAAAAAACGGCTTTTACCTTAAAACGTACAACAATTTCAACAAAAAGTTTAAAACGATTGAGAAGTGAAGCATAATTATTTTTTGTTTCTTCTTGTAGTTTGTTCACGCCTTATTTTCCGTATTGTTTTGAAAAATTTGAATAAAAAGGAACGTGATTGTGAGCTGTAATTTTTTTTGTATTAAGCAAAGTACGAGAAAGGCTATAAAAAATCAAACGCAAATATGCATCGCATGCAACAACATTTTGGAAAGCGAAAATTTGGCGGATCACATAATGCATCGGAATTTTACACATCACCAAAGAATCAAAGATTACGACCATGTCGTGACATTGTCTACACCGAAGATGCCATTCCTGTTCGCAAATTGTATTTTAGCGTGCCTTCAGCCGAAGTAAGTTCGACCTACATTTTGAATGAATATCAATCTGCCATTTGTTGTTGTTGTTGTTCGTGGTGTGTGGTTCGTTTCTGAATGTAAACAAATTTCAATAATTTTTGAAAGATTGCAGAAGATTCAATTCTGAGCACCATTTGTATGGTCATATGGCTAGTGATACATGTCAAATGGTAAAAATTATAAAAATAACACTAGCACACGATCAATATATTTTATTTAATTGCGTTCTAATTCAAAAAAGTTGTTTATTTAGTTGTTTTTGTCAAGTTTTATCGTATTTTTCATTGTCTCTTTGTCTCTTCGTGTATTCCTCCATTATTATTTTTTGAATATAGATCACCAAAATGTCATTGAAAAAACATTTCATGATGTTTGGTGCGATCGACTCATTCACATTGCATCTGAAGTTAAGCTATTGCTATGGATTTATTCAGTACAAAAGTGTGCACAGTGCAGCGGCCGCTCTAAAAAATCAACATCCTTATGTATGCGGATTTCGAATCAAAGTGTCCGTAGCGGATAGTTGGCATCAACCGATCACAACGCAACAGGATATGGCCACACAAAATAACGATGAAAATGCAGTTGATGATGATAATGGATCTGAAACTGGAGTTGATCCGAAATTAGTACAAGTTCTTGATTTGAATGATGATTGTTTGTATGACATTTTCAATATGTTGAACTGTATCGATCTGAGTGCCGTGGATCAAACGTGTTTGCGATTTCAAAAAGTGGCCGGTGATGTATTCCGAAAAAAGCATACCGCCATTAATTTAACCATGACAAATTTACCGGGATACTCGAATGTTGGTACGAGTCAACTTACTTTGTTACAAATACGAAATTTATTCATTGGATATGGACCACAGATTCGAAAGCTACAGGTTGCCGCTTTGTCTTTCAAACAAGAAAATCGATACCGTGTTCTCGACTCGATTATTCGTACGTGCACCGGATTGGAATCACTCTCGCTGACTGGATTTATCATTAAGGTATGTAGCTAAATCGCTGAGTTTTCATTAAACAATGTTTAGTTGCATCAGCACGAAAAAATGTAATATGCTTGGCCTAAAGATTTTTTTTTATAAAATTTAAATGGCTTGTGACTTGAATCGCACTATATCACGTGTCGTAATGTTTTGTTGCATTCCTTCGATAAAATAAAATCACGTCTCTCGTTGTATACGAAGAGTAAGATTGATGTCACATGATCGATGTTTGACCGACTGCGAAGCCGAAAATATAAGGTGTTTGGTGTTATTATTGATTTACTGCGTTATAATTGTTGGGTCTTTAGATCAAAGCTAATCACATGTTTATTTCGACATTTTGGCACTTATGGGTATTTTTTTAAATATTGACAATTTCGCCATTCAATTGACATATACATAAATAGATTATTTATTGAAGAAATAAAAACGTGATTCAATTCATAGACAAATTCAACTAATTCAATATTTTTTTTTTTTTTTTTTTGAAAAAACAACAGGAGAGTCTTTACCGCATCAACAACACATTTTTCTCGAATTTAGAAGAGCTGTCACTTAGTTTGTGTGAATTAAACGACAACATTCGACGTGTATTTCTTCAATGTAATCAGCTAAAAAAGCTGACTATTCAATCAGACTCAAATTTGACGGGATCATGTTTGGCCATTCAGTTTCCAAATCTTGAATCAATCACACTAATTATGAATTCAGACATCGAAATGCGACACTTGAACACATTCTTCAAACTAAATCGACAACTAAAATCGGTGAAAATCATTCATTGCGGAGGATGTATATTTGACGAGATATTCCCGAGAATCGCAACAAATTTACCAGAATTGGAAGCGCTCACCATTGAAGTGGATTACTTCCAAAATTTTTGTAAAAATATCATGGCATTGTTGCGATTGGAGAATTTGCGTGAATTACAGTTAAATTGTAGCATGTATTCGGTATCAACGTTCATTGAAGGACTGGCTGCTAAGGGAAAAATCGAAGTATTACATTTATCTGATGGTTTACTGAATGACGGTCTTATCGATGCAATTGCCAAGTGTAAAAAGCTAACGTCGCTTAAATTGTGTTCGATGCCCAGCGTGCATAATCGTTTTCTTGCCGAATTGGCGAAAAATTTACCCCAACTCAATGATTTCCATATTTCAAAATGTCAAACGCTCAATTCCAGTGGCGTTGTTCATTTTGCTACATTAGCCAAAAAATTAAAAACATTACACATTAATAATTCCAGTGTTGAAATCGATGATAAATTCTTCCAAAGTTTGGCAACCGTTTTCAAAGAACGCGGCACACGGCTCACACTCAGCCTATGCAAAATGCAATCCAGAGTAACACCCGAAATCTATGAAGAACACAAGCAACACATTCAAATTGTCCGGTCCAATGACTTTTTACTTTATGACATCTTTGGCGAAGATTTATCCGATATTGATTCAGATGACGACGATGACGATGGTAAGGATATTCAATTCACTGCTTTTGCAAATCACAACAAAAACGAATCTTTTTCCGAATTTAAAATATTTTTATGTTATTTTTATCATTTAGATTCGGATTTTGAGAATTGGGATGATTATGATAGTTACGGTGACGATCCATTTGATGATGATGATGAATACTCTGAATTATTCGATTTCAATTTCAATCCAAATCAATGGAACTTTTTACTCGATTAATGGATTGGACGATTATTGATCGATTCGAAATGTCTACAAAATGTTCATATAAAATCGCACAGAAATGTGGTTGAAATTGTGATAAATTAATCAAGAATTTTTTAGCTCAAGTGTGAATGAACTCAACTCAACAAAGCCATCGAATTTTTCTGTTTTTTTTTTTTTTTAATTTTTTAGCACTTGAAATGCCACAGAATCATATGTAGGAATTGATTACGGAAAATAACTTAATTAAGTGAAAAACAGGCAAAATGGATTTATTTGCTTTTTTACAGATCAAAACATTGAAGAAATTTAAATTATGTAAAGCTAAAAGAGAATTCCTTTTTTTTCAAATTTCAATCCCTTTTTTCATAAAATCAATGATATATCGGTTATATTTTTTATTTGTAACACAAATTTCTCCTCATTTATATACTAAATTTAGGATTTAGGAAAATAGAATTATTTGTTAGTTGTTTTTTTTTTGTTTATTCAAGAATTCAGTACATAATTTGAGATTGTACCTTAATTTTAAGAAAAAAATAGTATAATCAATTGGCCGTGATTGAGCCAAATGTTGAAATGACCTTTCAAAATGGTTTTGTTCCTTTTGGGAAACAACATTTTCTATTCATGAATGTGGATCCACTCCGAAAGTTCGAATAAATATTTGAAATGTGGATTTCCTCAGATAGAAAAATTGCTATTTTCATACAAGTGCATAAATCTGGACACTACTGCTCCGAACAGTTTATTCAAAAAAAAAAAAAAACACGAAAGTACTAATAATTAAATGCTTTGAATTTTGATAGCATATGAAGAAATCTTTATCTTAATCTCAATCATTTGATCAAATGGAATGATGTTTTCGATAAAAATTAATTTGACATGTCAAAATAAAGTCAGTTTAAAATGACATACACATTCGTTACAGAAATAATTTTTTGGGTTTTATAAAGAGGAAACAAAAATACTAAAATTTCTTATCCATTAAAACATGAAATAATTTGAATAAAAAAAAAAAACATAAAAATTATTTAAGTTTTCTAAAAAAGCAAATATGGTGCATTACATTTTTTCTCCTTTATTTTTGGATCATTACTATTTTTGCTACAGTTTTTGAGATTGAATCGGTGAAATTTGGTTTGAAAGCAACTCCCTTTACAAATTGGCAGAACATTTTTTGAATTTTGAAAGTGCAGAACTTTTGAGATGCTTCGATAGAGAAAGAAATCTGTTGAACTTCGGAAGCTCTCTTTTGAAGTATAATAGTTGTTATATCTGGTAGAAATAGTATCTAAATATGATTGCAAAACCAACAATGTGTATCATATTCTGAAGAGGAAGACATTAACATCATCTAATTTTCAATCCAATTCGTTTGGTGTTTCATATGCCCGATGCCGTACACTATGCGTGTGTAAACTGGTAATAAATAATAGCTATATCCGAAGCCTATATCAGTCTGAATTTCCATAGCTTAAACATGAGAGCGGCATAGAGAGCAAAAATAATCATGAAAAGACAACGACAACATCGATAACGACAGCAAATAAACAAGAAATTAAACAAAACAAAACAACCATAAAATATGTAAAAAGGAAAAGCGAATTGATTCGATAAAAAAAACCGACTGGGGTATATACAATGCGGATTGCGCGATGCACACACACACACTGTAGTGCAAAAATGCAGAAAATCTGCGACAGAAAGAGAGTGAGCGAGATGATAGTTTCGTGTAACCAGTAGTTGGTAATGATCAAACATATAAAATTGTTGTGTGTACCTGGAACGATATGTACGGTTTTTCGCCTCTTTCTCTCGGGGCCGCCGCCGCCACCGTTGAAGTACACTCTCTTCTTTTGCTTCAGATTTTATATTGTCATCATACATATATATATATTTTTTTAAAGTGTGTTGGCAATGCTTCGCTGCATCTCGTTTTGTCTTCGCCATTTACAATACATTGTATCGTTCTTTCGCTGAACCATTGAACGTTACATTTTATTTATTTATGCACTTTAATTTGATTACATTGCCACAGTATTTGAATTGTTCCTTATCTGCCTTTTCTCTGTGATTTTCTGCTGGTATTTTTTTCTTCTTTTTTGTAGTTTCGATCAGCCGGTACATACATACACGACTCTCTCGCTCGATTACACCGAATGAAATATTCAAGTGCGACAACGTCTTTTATACCATGCCGGCATAACATAAATATATTTGAATGACATTGCATATACACACAATCGACTTGTCTCTAATTCGCCGAACAGTTAATAGATCGTGCGTGTATTAAAATGAAACGATTCCAATGCGAACGATCACCGTTTTGCACCTTTTTTCTCTCTCTGTGTCTCACTCGCGGTCCACATATATGAACAACGATCCAACGAAAATCCATTTATGATGATTTATAGTGACAAGGCTGTTGCTACTTGCACTACGGAAGTACGCGACCACTGTCTATTTTCGAAAACATCTAATTATATTGCGAATGGTTTTTTTTAGCACGAGCACGATTTGCTTATTATCACTTCATGATTGCAGCACTAATATACGTTCTAAATGAGAATTCAATGGCCGTTTGGTGAAATCTATTTATTGAACCAATCTCACTTTCTGTACATTTTGAAAAAGAGTTTAATTCACCAGGTTTCATCACTCTGACTTCCATTGAAGATAATTTTTATATGAGACATGAGAATGGCTTTGGTTTTTTTTGTTCAAAAACTGTGTTGTCAATATTTGTGTGTCAATGAAGTAGCCACATATAGTATTTTTAGGGCAATTCATAGAAACATGAAAAGAAATATTGTGACAAAAGAATGGTCACGACAAATCAAAGGCGAATTGAGTGGTGTTCAAGTAGGTTCAAAGCATCCGCAACCATTTAAAATATCCAAACAAATTATGCAAATCCGAAAACATAATCTGCTGGATTTGTGTCTAAATATTATTTTTTCCTTTTCAAGCCATTCTCAATTGAATATATGCAATGAAAAAAGTTTACGTCGAAGTACGCCAAAGAAATAGGAGTTTTGTTGAGTCATATTTTAAATATATATATGCCGCAAGACATTTGAAGTGGTGAGAATATTTCAACGTTTTTTCTTTTCAATTTATGTTATAAAATATTTAAAAGTTGAAACGATAGTTCAGCAAAAAGTGTGTCCATCTTACACATTTTTATTCTCAATTTTAAGAGATGTTTTAATTTTTCGCTCTTAATTAGTCGGTAGAAAACTTGCCCTGAAATTTTTTTCAATCAAATGACGAGTAAACAAATAAGCGTAAGTTCGGGAACATGCCAATATTTCTGCTATTACTTTTGGTCAATTGCTTTTGCTCTGGGTAATATTTTTACTTTTTCTATTTATTTTTTAAAAAAAGTGTATATATCTACATATTAAATTCCAGTATGCGTTGGAATCATCTTTAATTTCGTTTGGCTTTTGAATTGTGAAGATGGACACAACAAATGGATAGACATACAATTTTTTACCGACAAACTCTTAATCCAAATCTCATCGCATCGCAAAAAATAATGTGAAAATAAATAAATATGCGACAGAAGAAAAAAAAACTTACAAAATACGGAGAAAGAGAGAAAAACGACGAACAAGGAAAAAAACGCAATAAAAAGAAAAAGAAGAAGAAAAACCACAGTCAAGCGCGCGGTCTCATCTAAATAAATTTAAATCTGTGCAGAGATCGCACTACCAGCAACATTCTGAATGCATGGCACAAAACACATTGCATCACATATCTTTATGTTGTCCCTGTTAATGCTGTTGTTGTTGCTACTGCGGCGGCGGTTCGTATGTAAAAGGGCATTGGTTTATTCTCTTTCTATCTTTTATGCTAGGAATATTTTGTAATATGGATTTTGTTTTCGACATAAAACACATATATTGGCTGCACTTTGAATATGCACAAGTCGATATGGACATTGGACATGTGTGTGTGTGTCTGTGGAGATGTCACATTGCCAATAACATTCTGCACACCAATAATCCAATGGTTTTATCCCCAATTTCATCGAAAAACTTGCATCGGTTGATCGGTTTGTCGGTGTCCCGGTCTCAACATGTTGCGCGCATTCAAAAAAGAGAAGAAGAAGCTTCTGGTTTCTGGCCATTCATATGATGCCACATCGCGAAAATGTATCACCGTCCAGAAGAGCCATATCATTTATTATTCGTCTGATATGGAAGCGAATTTTGTGTGCAAGTATATGTTGCATGTTTGCCGATTTTTCAGGGCAAAAAGGACTTATGCGACATTTTCAAAGCGCAACGATCCATTTCAACGGAACAAATGTGCGCGAGCTATTCTTTTTGGTTGTATTTCGTAGACTTTGCGATCGACTTTGAGTTGGCTTCTGCTTATTGATGCTGCTGTTGTTATATTGCACGGTTTTGTTGCTCCGATTTTATTTTTTTATTTTCAGCTCGGCGATGCTCACTTCTTCGATGTATGTTTTTCATTCTTCCTCCTGTTCCGCATGTATTTGGATACGATTTTGTGACAGATTTTATGTACGACCGAGAGAATGTTTACGTGTGCATAGACTTTTTTTTTGTTTGTATTTTAATATCAAATACTAAAAAGAACGAGACCGCATACACAGTTCGCTGAAGAAAAAAATAAAAATAAAACAAAACAAAACAAAATGCATAAATAAAAAGTAAAGCAGCAAACATAAAAAACGACGAAGTAACGCAACAAAATCGAAAAAGAATTACTAGCGACAGCTCTTTTCGAGCCTGCGTACTCTTTTTTTTGTATATATATTTTATAATTAAGGATTTTTCTTTTCGACTTCTGGGAATTGAGCATTTTTCTACCCGTCGATGCCACGCGAACGACTTACAGACCGCGCTTATTTATTTGTCTTCTCGACTTTTTTTTCGTTGTTGTTATTGCTTGATTCTTTTCCGTGCTGTGATGGCCCGGTGTATTTTACTGGACGATACTTCTGACGAATTCTCGTTTTTCGCAAACCGCGCAAACTGGTCGTTTTGCATTTCCGTGCTACTCAATTCGTAATTTTTAATAAATGCATAAATATATTGGTTTGCTTTTTTGTCAAACTTTTAACAATTTTTTTTCTTGGTAATTTAAAAAAAATTAATAAATTTCTTGAAATCGAAGGTGAATATTTTAAGAAATTTTTTATTTTCGAGATTTGAATAAAACACTTTTGCTTAAATTAAAATAACTGCAGTACATGTACTTATTCACAGAACAAATGCAAATGCGATAGACCAACCAACTGTTTTAAATATTAAATATTCAATCATCGGACAATGTAAACAAGCAATAAAAATTTCGATAAAATTGTTCAATTTGGTGATATCATAGATCTCGCAGGGCTCGAGCCGAGTTCATTTTGCCGAATCCGATCAAAGAAGAAACAAAACAAAATATATATTGGAAAAAAGAGAGAAGTTGAGCAAGGTAACCAAGGTACCTGAGGTTATCGGCTTGTTTCATCGGCACGCAAATTTATCGTTTTATCAACCGAAAGAAATCAATAATAATTAGCTGAATGTGTTCGACGTGCATTTTACGTATGTTTGGAACATCTTCTTAATCGCCAATTTGGTTCACAGCCTAAAACGTTAATAAAAATGCGAACCGAAAAAAATGCCACACAAAAATATGCATATGCAAAAGGGACAAATGTAGCGACGATGATCTTTCGTACCGGCTATTGAGCTTGTAAAAAAAAAAAACAAGCGACGATTCACAGCATTTACCATTTTCATGTCTCGTCTTTTGCTTTTGTGATGACCGAATTTAACTGAACACACATTTACATTTAAAGAAAACCACAACAAGTTCGGCCATTTGATCTGTACAAAGTGGCGATTTGTTTAACGCAAAGTGGCGTTTCGAAAAAAAGAACAAGAATAAACTTGTAATCCGTAATTAATTAAGCATGGGAAATTGAATGCAATCGGAAGAATGCATCACCATCAAATCGCACGCATAAGAAACACATTTCGCCAACGAAAACAATATCATCAATGACCATACAAAAGAGGGAGTCGTTTCCAAAAATTGTCATTCAATTAAAAAAAAAAAATTATGAGTATTAATAATTTAAGAAATTAAAATTAAGCATTAATTTGTTCGAAAACGAAAGAAAAACAACAATCAATTTGATTCGAATAACCTTTTGACTCGTTTTTTTTATTCAATTTTCTGTGAACTTTTCCATCTTTTGTAATCTTAAAATAAAATCGCCTTAAATCAAAATGTCGAAAATCTGCAATAAACTTCCTGTAAACTCACCAAAAACCATATGCCATAATTGAAACATCGCTGGAGTTCGAAGTGATGTGAAATTTTGTGAAAATGTGTACGTAAGATATTATGTTCTGTAAAATGACTATCATTGTGAGGCCAACTAATATATGAGATACGTATGTACGGTGTGCGCCAAATGAATTTATTTAGATGAAGTCAATTGATACAGTCAAAATTGATGAGAGATGAAAGGTATCATGTTTGTATCGATCAGAGTTAGTGCTGGATTTTTAACTCATAAAGACAATTGCAAAGTTGCAAAGTGAATATTGTTTTTCCCTTTTTTTTCTTTTTTGAGAAAGAGAGACGTGGAAAAACAGTCAAACAGACAGTCGAACATGAGCAGCCACAAAAAAAAAATAACAACAAATACGGCGAAGGAACAAATGATGCTGATGCAAATGTATACATGCAATTTGTGTGTGGAGTAACACGTTTCATTTCACTCTCTCTCTTTCTCTCATCTTAAATGTTTACGGGAATACAACACGGGTAAACAAAATCAAGAGAAAAAAAGTGTCCGAATATGTTGTGAATGTGCGCACAGTCAGTTTGCTATCAGTCAATCGTGTGGAGGCGGATTACTCGTGTTTTTTTTCGCTGTTATTTTGTATATTGCATATGTTCTTGAGATATGTTTTTTTTTATTATAAATACAGCGCGCGACTTTTTTCCTTTACCAATTTTTTTCTTTCATTATTATTATTTTGATTGGGTGGTTTCGTTGCTAATGTTCGTATTATTTTGATAAATGTTAATTGGACACGCCTTATTTTCTTATAAAGATGCATTCATAAAATATAATTATGCTTTTTATTATTACTAATAATAATATTAACGGAATGAATGCCGAAATGAAGGGACGACGAGAGGAAGAGAGAGAGAGAGAGAGAACAAGAAATGGGTCGATAAAAGGGAGCGAAAGAGAAAGAAAATCCGTGAAAAGGCAGCAAGTGAACGATGAGCGACGACCAAAAAGTGTATTTATTTTGCAGAAGAGTCAACAAATGTTGCATATTCTCTTTTACCTACAGCACAAACAATCTGTGTCTAGAATCAACAAATGTACGCGAAAAGACGAGAGAGAAAGAGAGTTTGCAACATATCGAATTCGCGCGGATCATTTTTGGTTTTGTTCGTTAGCTGATTCGTTTTGTAAATACTATTTGCATTGCACGCCTGTGCTTTACTTTTCTCTTGTACAAAATATTTTGTTTTTTTCACTCCCTTTCAAGAGATATGTACTTTTAAATTCAATATATCTGTATATATGTGTGTTGCATGAACACACCGGAGCCGGGAAGCATCTTGATGCCGCCGATGGTTTTTCTTTTATCGGTATTTTTAGTATTTGTTTTGTTTATATTAAAGTTGCCCGTATGCAAACGGCCCCAACTCAAAATCATGATTTTGGTTTTATACGTCGTTGAAATCGCTCTCGCTATCTATCTGTTTGTGTGTGCTTCATGTGCCGTCATAATCCTAGTTGTAGACAGACACACACACACTCTTCCTCTCTCTCTCTCTCTCCCTCTCTCTCTTTCTTTCTGCGTACGTCTTATCATTTTTTTACATCTATCGTACCAATGTTAGATTTGATTTGTTTAAATTTTATTTGTGCGCGCGTGTTATGCACATAAGCGCACAACTTTGGCGATTTATCGATCAAGGGTTACATCTTTGTTTTAATATTGGCCCGCAAGGAATTCATGTGCACATAAATACTCTCCTTTCTTTGCAACAGTGGGCCCATCTCGGTTTGAAATCAGTTTTTTTTCTCTTTCTCTCCATTTCAACCAATGTTGTTGTTTTGTTCTTTCATTGCGCCAACAAATCTGAAATTCCATCAGTTGTTACTTTCTTTTTGCATAAAGCCACGTACGTACAGACACATTTGATTATTTGATTATTTTCTTCCTGTTGGACTAAAACACAAGAAATTATTTCTACAGGTGAAAAAAAAACGAAAAAGAACATAAAAAACAAACGACAAATACTTGATTTTTTTTGTGTTGAGATTGTCCATTTTATTATCTCTATAAGATTTTTATTTATTTTTTTTTGTTTTTAACTTAAACAGTATGAATGTTGCTTTTTTATGTGTGCTGAAAAATGCTATCTAAAAACTAGAGATTTATGCATCGGATCGATATCGACAACTAAACAAAAAAAAATACATTACACATAAAAATTAGGTTTAATTTGTGCGTAAATATGTGTTTACATTTACAAAGGAAAAAAGGAGACAAAAAAATCATAGAGATAAATGAAGAATTATCATTACAGTGGTCGGTTTCATTCTAACATCTAAAAAAATATATTTATATAATTCCAACAACGAGGCAAACGTGCTAATTTCAATAATAAGTACATTTCCATTTCTGTGGAAAATTTCTATACAATAGTGCGATTATACTTTTAATGCCAAACATTTCTTAATAGCTAATTTTATATATATATATATATAAATTTTTTATTTCAATGATAACAGTATTGAAAAGAACATAAATAATTGAAATGATACCACTATTTTTCACGTATTAGATTTCTTAATTTAAACATAACAATGTACTGAATTTTGTTGACGTCGCAAATGATTGTCTTCTTTCTGCAAATACGATATGCAGGCTTCAATTGTTTGTTTGTTTCCAGCTGGATTTTTTTTTAAATTTTCATTTTCGCATAATGAAGTGCATTTTTTATGTTTTTTTTAACTTAGGAAAATATTAAAGTAAAAACTTTTATTGTTATGGAAATATTTTGAAAATTTGATCATTTTCTTTCTTTCATCGAATAAAAGCAAACGGATACAGTTTTTGTTTTGTTACCGATCTAAAATGAGTGGACGTAATGAATGTTAGTAATTTCAGTAAAACATTTTCCATTTAGAATTTATCAAATGTCACTTTTTTATGGGCTTTTTAACTTTATCATATTGTTCTATTTGTTCTATGCATTTTGAAAAAATATTATTCGCCAAAAATTGTCATGAAAACATTAATAACGATATTCTACATTAAAAATTTTTGTTTTTGACATTTTTTTCGTGCGCGGTGTTTGAATAAATATATATTTTATTTTATTTTTGATAGTAATAACTGATTTATATGACTCATATACTCGTGAGTATTTTATTTTTACTGTTTTCGAAAGCCATGGAAAATAATTTGCAGTTAAAGAAGAAGAAGCAGAAGGGAATGAAAAAGATTCCTTACAATTTTCGTGGGATCAGTGTCCCTCAGTTGCTGTAGCATGTTTTTCGAACGCCAGCCAAAATATTGCTGAACTCGTCCTCTTTCATCGCATCATTTTGAACGTAAATTTCGGTGCCGCTTAGCACGGTTTGTGTTGGCGCTTGTGACGATGATGATGTCGACGACGATGACAATGGAATTGTAGACAAACAATTATTCGCTAAATTAGCTGCAATTGAAAATGTTCAATAGTAATCTTAAAAATTCGGTCAATATTTTTCACTCTATTTCATCAGATGATGTGGTTTGTATGCAATTAAATTGGTAAATTGGTTTAGTTTACCTGTTGTTACTGTTGTGGTGGTTGTTGAGCCCGGCGGTACATTTGTATTTGGATGATAATATAAATGATAGTATTCCTGTGGTGCTATCGTTGCCGGATGATGTGGCGACGATAGAACGTGTGGTGGTAGTTGATTTGTGGCCAATTGATGATTATGATATATTGAATTTGGATGGGGATGACCATGATACGCGCTATTCGAATCGTACTCATTGAAATTATGATTTGTGTCTGGATATTTAAAGTATTTTTCAAATTCACGTGAATCAACTTCGTCGACCATATGCTGAGGATGAATACTTTGTACGACAGTGGCGCTGCTTATGTTTGATGTTGGCGATTGCGTTTGATGATAATTTACATAATCTTTGTACTGCACAGTTGTAAATGGTGACGATACATACGTTGGCATCGGTGCTGTTACCGTTATCGAATCATAATTTCCATATGCATCAATGGTCAAACCATTTTGTGATGATGTTTCTATTATAACATTATTATTTTCTTTAATGCTATTTGATGATTGATTTACCGAATTCATACGATTATTATTGACAATGTGCAATGCACTATTTGTTACGTGATCAAGATGATGGTTTGGAGTATAGCTCAAATTTGACATGGATGACGTGGATACAGTTTGTGATGGTGTCGAAACGGTGCCCAAATTTTGATGATCTTGTGATGTTGCCAGCGGTGGAAAGTATGTTCCACGCACTATATTTCCCTGATCAAGAATGCCACGATTGCTACATGTTACATACATTCCTTTGCCGGCTGCAATTGTTGTTGACGATGATAGTGACGATGATAGCGTTGATGTTGCCGATGAATTTCGCTTCTCACTACTGCTATTTGGTGTTAAGCCACCCACCGATGACATTCCAGTGCTATCGTAAATTCTAAAATGGATAAAAAAATATTGCGTTTTAAAGAGATTTTTTGTTGTTGAAGTATATCGATTCAATAAATTGTGAGAAGTAAATTAAATTTCTTTGAATATTGAAACGATCTTTTTGTGGCAAAGCAAAAAAAAAATACCGCATATAAAAATCAATTAAGTTGAAAATCGATGCAATAAAAATGCATCGCAGGACTCATTTTACAATACAATAACATCAAATTAAAATGCACAATATGTTAAGGTGATTGACTTAAATTTAATAATTGTACAACTAATAATAATAAAGGTAAAATCGATTAAATGATCAATGATCTCTTACCGATATGATCGTGAATTATTTGATTGTGTTTTGTTGTCGGTGGCGTTGCCACTGCTATTGTTCAATTGATTGTTGTTTCCACTGCCATAACTGTTATACTCTCGTTTGATGATGTGATGTTCAATGGAATCCATATCGAATGTGTTCATATTTCGATTGTTGTTCCCTGTATTACTGTTGTATACGTATGAGGTTGGTGTCGATGCACCCGATTTTTCCGATTTGATGTGCCCATTGTAATCCATGAAGGAGATTTTTTGCTTGTCATTCGACAAACTATTGCCATAATTCTCCTTTTCCAATTCCATTGGGCTCATTTCTGGTGTTGGTAATGATGATGTGACAGCGTTTACATCGTCCTGATGTTTACTACTACCTCGCGATATATTACCCGTATTACCATTGCCATTAACTGCATTCAATTTGCGATTACGCGAATTTGGCGCTACAACCTGTGACGGATCAGGACTGTGTGGATTTGGGCTGGATTCGGGTGTGTGCATTGCATTATTTGTACTATAATACATTTGCGAATTGTATGGACTCATTCGATCGACACCACTCATGTGATCCCCAAAGTCGGGAGACGCATGATCAGAGAGATTCTAAAACAACATCAAAGCACATTTAAAACACATTCACAAATTTTTTAAACAATATTACTTAAATGCCAAAATATGATGGGCAATAGAAACTTTTTCTTTTAAACATGGTAAATTTCATATGAAATCAATATTATTTTGATTCGTTGACTTACATTCTGTGAAGATGATTGATTGTTGATGGCCACCGGATTAGAACCACTTGAGCCAGTTCTGGACTTTGTGTGCTTTCGACGACGTGGTCGATATTTGTAATTCGGGTGTTCGGTCATGTGGATAACACGAAGTCGTTCGGCTTCTTCAACGTATGGGCGACGATCTTGTGGTGTTAATGAACGCCATTTCTTTCCTGGAATTAACACAATAAATGAATTCGATTTTAAAATCTATGAATAATAACACTTTCAGTGAAAACCATATTGCGTGTGTCATAGCACTTTTTTTTGGATAAAATGACGATGCCGATTTGCAACTTTAACGAACAGAAACGAACAAACATACAAAAAAAAAAAAAAATTTCAATCTCAATAGAACACCGTGAAGTACATTTGGCATTTTGGTGTGCTATCGACATGCTTCATGTGTAATAAATTCATATAAAATTCAGATCGCATAAACGCACGCGCCGCTCAATAAAAATTCGAATTCCAATGTAATTGTTCATATAATATTCGTATTTGTTTACATTCGATACAACTGCGTACGACATAACAAGCACATTAATCATGAAAATTTCACGACTGTTTTTTTCTTCTCTCGTAATTTTGGGCGACGCGTATTATTGTGGTCGTCATTTGAAGGCAAAAAAAGTAAAAAAAAATGATACGGTAAAGTTGATTCTTTCTCTTTTTGTCTTTGAAATTGAAAATATAATATTGTCGCCACATAGGACAACGGAGAAAAGAGAGTCGCGCATTACGCATACGAACTTTTTCGGCACGTGCATGCAAAAGATGACTCAAATTCAGTGGAATTAAAACGAAAGCGCGTCATTATTGAAAATTGCCGGTGATCAAAAGCAAAGCGAAGAAAATCCGCCAAGGAGATAATACGGAACGAAATAAAAAGAGAACCAAATCAGGCGTACGCAAATTGTAATCAAAACAAATAAATGTTCACGATAAATCTTCAACTGTGCTTTGATTCTGTGCTGGGTCGGGGTATTTAGCATTGCATCAGTGGCCGATTGAATGTTTGATTGTTTTCTTTTTGCTCTAAATCCAACTTCAAGCAATAAATAAATAACTTGCATTCAATCTCAACTCTATTGGACATTCAATACAACAAACGACAACAGTGCACACAGCGGCCTTCTCACAATGTGTATATCGAAAAGTTTTACATGTTTATCCACTGCGTTGTATCGTCTCCTGGATTTTGCAGCGATCGGATAATGTTTTTTTTTTCTTTCGTTTTACTCATTTAATAGGAACTATGTCGAGCTTTTTGCATCAATGCATCGTCGATTTATACATATCGGTTTTTTTTTCGTGTACGTGCGTGCATCGATCGAAAAATTTGATTGTTTTGTTCTTCGGTACATTCTTTTCAAGTGTCTTCTTCTTTGAGCACGAGCTCGCTCAATATTCAATAGTTTACTTTTTTGTTTCTGCTCCGCAACCATAACAGAACGAAACAACCATACAGAACAGAACGAAATAAAAACTAACAATAACAACAACAAAAACGCTTTGCAATTGCGCCCGATGCGTACAAATATATCAATAAATGTGTGGCATGCACCATGCATAGACATTTTTATGTGTCCAACGACAGATTGATTTACAAACGTAATTAAATTGTGCTTCACGTTTGGAATAAATTTTGATAGATTTCGTTACTTCAGTCGCATTTCGTTTCGATTGCACATTTACAAAATAAATAAATAAATGACAACAAACAAGATGTGTATGTGTATGTTTGTGCGCGCGCATAAAAAACGAGCTAGAGAACAACATCAGGTGACTTGATTTGAATTGATACACACTTGCGGCGCATTTCTTCTAATCTTTCAATCCGGAATTTCTATTACCCGCGATAGATTCAATTTATTCAAATGAATTCGTAATCACAACTTACATTAAAGTACACATTTCATTTGAACTTGATTTGAATTTGCATTTACTAATCGACAAAGCTGCTGGGAATCAATTGTAATTATTAATGATTCTTTTCGGTTTGAACATGGTGTGTGTGTTTGGAGATTTTAAAGAAATATTGCCTTAAACATTCCTACAGTAATCATGTGCTAGCAAATGTCATGTAAATGACAGTATGATCTCATTTGAGTTAGTTCGTATTTTTTGTTACGGTGCTATAAAAAGTTTCCTTTACTTTAATTTGAAAGAAACTGTTGAAAAAGCTTAAACATTTTCCACAATCCAGTGCATAATGAATAATAGTTGGAGAAGGCGTTGATAAAAAAAGCAACTGTTTGAAGTTTAATTCGAATGATTAAGCAAATATTCTGTGGAGCATTTTTTTCTCTGTCTCTGTCGTTTCTATCGTACATTTCAGTTGGATGTCCGATAATAACTAAAATTAGAATGAAACAGAGAGGGAGAGAAACGATATACGATTGGATTATATATGGACTGAAATGAGAAGACAAAGAGAGGGAAACGGAAAAAGAGATATGGAGATACTGAACGCAAATTAGAAACTAAGATCTTAAACGAATTTTAATGACAGACTGTTAAGCTACCACATTATATAAACCAAGCACATATACAGCCCACAAATTGTGCACACACAAACAATTATTATATATGATGAAAATGACTCAACGAAAAATAGCAGTAACGAAACGATTTTTTTTTTCGAAATCATAATAATAATAATAAATGCAACAAATATAAGTCGTGTCGCTATGCCACGCACATACATCATATTCGTTAAGTTTGAAGCGAAAAAAAAGTTTTTGGGGTCTTTCGTTTTCGAGAGCTGAATGATTGAGACAACATATAATTAGATATTAATTACATATGATAAGTAAAAATTGTTCGTAGTGATTTCGTGTGGCACGGCGGAGCCCTTGTGTGTGTGTGTGTAGGTGTGCGCTTGTCTTTCATTAAAAAAATATATGCTTTTTGCATCTCGCTCATTTCCAGGTGCATTGCATGCAGAATTTTAATTGGAGCGGCTCGTGAAAATACTTATCTAGATTGAGAGAGATAGGGAGCCTTCATTTGTAACCACATACTCATCTTTAGATTGTTAAACTTTCTAAAATGCCATTTTGGTGCATCATGAAAACCATCGTCATAAAGATAGCAGTGAATCATCCCCCGTGGATTTCGCTTCAACGAATGGGAATTAGCACTTCAATTCTTTTTTTAAGATCGAGAAGAAAAAAAAACATTGGAATCACATCGATTTTACCGAAGGTCGAGTGTGGTATAAGATTTTCGATATACATTTTGTTACCAAAAAAAGTCTCTACTGAATTCCAAATACTCATCGCAGTTTATGGCAATGTGACTGTCACGATTTATCGCAAAGATCCTGAAATGAACTCTTCAAGAGTTTAAAAAGTGGAAAAATACATATTTTTTAAATTGTAGTTTGCAATGGACACCAAATTTCAAAAATAAAAAATAATTCTTCAAAAAATATAAAAATCAAGTATATATCTTCAAAACAGTTAATTGTGATTGCTAAAAACCGTAACATTATCAGATTCGATCTTGAGCACACTCGCCCTTCGATTTTTACGCAACATTCATTAATTCAAAATATTATCAATTCAAGCGATGGAGAAATTCTAATGAGCAAATGAGTGATATTCCATTTTATGGAAAATTGTTGTTTTGAACTTTTTACTTGAGCAAGCATCAAAGTCATTTACGTAAAATTGCGCATGAACTCTATCCAATGTGTGTAGTATGCTATTGCTGCTGCGTATTACAACTCTTTTTTTTTCGGTCAAACACCAGCTTCCCATTACATTTTTTTTTTTTCTACTATTTGTTGCTACACATTTTTCGTGTTTTCTATTTCAGTTTCATTTCATTTGCTTTTCAATCTTTTCCTTCGAATTAATGGATACGTAAACATGGTGAATGCTTTTAATATATGTATTCAGTACGATTTAATAAATAGCATGTGTATTTTATATATGCATACATGTAAAAAGGAATAACACGGCATATTTCATTAGAGTAGATCGACGGTTTTTACCTTTCAATGGAATTTTAGATTTTGAATTGACAAAAATTGTGTTTTTTCAAACAGTAATTGAATTTCTTATTTTTGATTTGAATTCGATCTCAAAAATATCAAGAAATGCCAAAGGAAACGGTAGTCACTGCGTCAAAAATGTTACCTGCCTATCACAGAACCGAAACAAGTGTAATCGATCCACCCTAATAAACGCGACAGAACACTGTAACACGCGATAAAATGAAGTAAGAAAAAAGGGCATACATTTCGGAACAGAAAAACAAAATTAAATACGAAACACCAAGAGCTATAATAATGCGAAGCAACACACAACATTCCCGAAGTCACAATCGCCACAAATAGCAATACACCGTTGCAAGTAGATAAGTCAACAAACATACAAATACACGAACACAAACACACACACACAGCCACACATACAGATATCTATAAAAATTTATAACAAACAATTTTCCCAGCGTTTAAGAAAATTCTCACGGAAAAGTCAGTAGAGCGTAACCGAAACGATTTGAAGAGACTCTTCGGTTAATAATCTAAAAATGTATGTTGTGTGTTTCTTTTTATTTTCTGTGTGTGTTTTTTTTTCTTTTTGTACCTTCAAATTTTGTATGTGGAGTTGATTTTGCGTATGTATTTACTTCGATATTGTGGGTTGCTGCTGTCGCTGTTTTATTTTTCTTTCTTCTTTCTTTTAATTACAAATTTAGTTCGGGTTAGTGTGTGTGTGTGCCCTGTTTGGCTTTTTTGTATTTCTACTTTATTTATTATTTCGGTTGTTATTTCTGCAGCAACAAAGAAGTCAATTTATCTGACTATGTATAATTCTTGTTGTTTCAATACGATATATGCTCATTAAATTTTCCATTTCGCCCAAAACATTGTCGAATAGCGGCTTTAAAGTCGAAACCACATGCGGGGTTAGCCCTGAACAAATATGAAAGGGTTTTTACCAAAAATATATTTGAAACAACATGTTTTCATCTCATTTCCAAGGTTTACTTTAATAGATGTGTTAATAGCTCAATTTAACAACAATTGGTTGTTAGAAAATTTGGCAACATTGCTTTATTTTGATGCAAAACTCATTTCAAAATGCTTTGCCAACATGGAAAAGCCAGCGTGCATTGCTCATGAATTCATTAGAAGTATGCCTATCTTAAAGAGGAA